TGCTGCCCCCGCGACCCGGTCCCGGATAAGCGGAGGAAAAAGGATGGATGGAAAACAGATTTCAGCGATTAATTCTCACCACAGTTGCCGAGTCTGCCAATTGACTCATTGATAAATACTCGCAACAGTTGCAGTGTTCAGATACAGTTTACCTTTTGTGTAAAAATATTGCCGTCACGTCTGTAGTTCTTTCTGTGTGCTGTGTTTGTTTAAAGTGTGTCCTGGACCTGTTGTTGTGTTTCCTGTCTGCAGGCCTACGCTCAGTTTGCAGGAGCACCTCTCAAACTTCGTAAGATCTCCAACCCCTGGAGGAGTCCAAGCGGTGAGACATGTGCACTTTTGGTTCCCGCAGTTTCACTCAGTAACACATGATGATGATGATGATGCCGTTTTTTTTTTCTCCAAAGGTTCTCTTCCTGCTCTAAGGATCAATCAGAAAGAAACTCTGTCCCGACCCTCTGACATCATCATTCACCTCAGAAAACAGGTAACATCCTCCTGGACTTGTGTGTGTGTGGAGGCTCTGTCTGTGCAGCCGAGGGGAAAAACTCAAAACAACAGGAGCATAGACTGTATGTAAAGATGGACGACGCATCACCACTTCCTGCCACTAGGCAACAGTGAAGTCAAAATACAGTATCTCCAATACAGGGGTGGCCATCTTGGTTGTGTGATGCATTTTGCAGCCAGATTCTGTGCAGTAGAAGTGAGTGGAGTGAAAGCATCAAGCTGCTAGTCAAAGCTGTCAGTCATCTGAAACACACCTCTCTTTACATCATCAAATAACTTGAAATTGACCACTTGTAGTTTGGCCCTATGACCTTTACTGCAACTAGCCACCAGGGGCAATCGGCTTGTGCACCTTCACATTCTCCATCTTTCATACAGTCTGGTCCAGAGCTGGTGATGTTCATGCCTGTCTGCAGAATCAGCTGCTCTCTCTAACTCTAGATGACAAATGTGACCTGCTCATGTTTAGTATGTGACAGTGTGAAAGTGAGAGCCGCCCTTCGTCTCTGACAGTTTGCTGAGGTAGATCTGTGAAACAGCAGCCGGCCGTACTGTGGCATTTGAATCTCCTTCAGCTGGAGCTTTCCTACAGCTTGGCCTCCTCCAACCCACATTCCCCTGAGCAGAAGTCGCATCTATGAGCTAAACGCTGCCCTCTGCCTTCATCCAGCAGCTGGAAGACATTACCCAACATGCTCTGTGCCTCCACACTGCGGTAGGTTAGTCAGAAACCATAAAGACAGGGGAGCTGCTGAAGAAGCTGAGAGGAGAGAGCTGCTGGCTCCATGCTCGGCTGCAGATTAACTCACTCTTCTTCTTCATGTTTTCCAGTCAGACTGTCCAGCTTCCACTGCAGTCAGGTCCCAGCTCGGCAGCTGCTGTGTCACTTCTTTGTCCAATGAAAACCTTAAAACCAAGGCTGATGTTCCTGCTCCACAGAGAATAAACTGGAGCTAGATAAAAATACCACATTCTGATTGACACATTCTTGTTTGATTCGGTTACTGATTCTTGAAATCCTGAGAGTGACGTTTGTGTTTGAGCCTTTCCTCGGTAAACATCAAATCAAATCAAAATGTGTTCATATAGCACTTTAAAACAACAGCATGTTGACCAAAGTGCTTCACAGATATGAATAACAGGATGCATAAAACAATAGATTAAAATAGAGTAGAGAATAAGAATAACAATCACAGGCGATAACAAAATGGGTAAACTCCACTAAGAATCATAGCCCAGAGTTTTATGAAGATCTAAACTCTGACAGGCCTGAGACAGATCTAAAATGGGTGGGGAGGTCCAGAGTCTCTGGGTCGCTACCAAGAAAGCGACACTTCCCCATCAGCATTGTTTAAGACTGGGAACAGAGCTATTGGGGGTCTGTGCTACTGCACAAGTTCAGTGAGGTATCCTGGGGCCATTTCTTGCTGTCATCTGCGTGGATGTGAAAGGAATACTCATGTTTCTCCAGCACAGACCCAAGTGGTAGCATATACAAAGTAAAAAGACCTGGTCCAAGAGAAGACCCCTGGGGAACACCACAGGTTAGTGGGGAGGGGAGGAGGAGCACTGTCTGATATAACCTTCAAAGCTCCTTCCATCTGAAAAGACAGAGCCGTTTTAGACCAGCACTTTGTAACCCAGCATAGTATGCAAGCCGAGATAACAAAATTTCATGGTCCACTGTCTCAAATGCTGCAGTAAAATCTAAGAGTAGCAAAACAATCTGCAGCATCAAGGGATAAAAGAAGCTTTGAGGCCTCCACCAGTTTGGGCAGGTCAGCAGGGTTTTTGACCTCCACTGCAGCTGATGTGTACATTGACACAGACATTATGTGTACAGAGGTCACTTGTTGTAAGTGGGTCGGTTTGGGCTGCGTGGTGTGTTCACTGTCGACTTAGTGGAAAACAAGTTGTTTCTGTGTGCACAGAAAGGTTTTTTTAAGCTGTAAGGCAGTGGTTCTCAGCCTGTTTTGGGTGAATGCCCCCTTACATCAGGTTGAAGCCTCTTGATTACCCCACCTCTCACTCCCACACCCAACACTAGCTTAGCTGCCATGCACACACACTGGATGTTTTCATTCACTAAGACTAATGGAACTGTCTTGGTGTCAAGACTTTGTGGGTCGTTCTTAAATTCCCAGGACCTTGAACTTCGACACCCACTTGTTACACAACATCCATGTTTTGCTCCAGCTCTCAGTATGACGAAGCCTGAATCCAGCACATCTGACTACAGGACCATGAATCGGGCCCTGGTCCACTACTCTTGATTGCAGCTGTGCACGCTGGCCCAGACTTGACCCATCTAATGCCAAGTGGAGCTGACTGAAGTCTGAAAACCAAATCCAGCATCCAAATGCTAGATGACAAGTCAAAATAAAAAGTATTTGTGATTACTGAGCAGGTCGACTTCACGTCCACATCACACACTAATCTTTTGATCAGTTAATGTTCAAAATATTGAGTAGAGTAATGCTGAAAATATGAATTGTACCTTTTAAACAAAATATCACAAAGTAAATGTTGTAACAAACTGAGCAGGTTTATCTCCAGATGAACAGCATGAAATCTTCTGTGCAGGTGGAAACAAGAAAACGATAACCACATTAACATGCTGTTTCATCAGCTGGTTTGTCGAGGTCTTCAACAATACGATGTTTTATTTCTAAATGAAGTGTGCCGCAGCAGCTGGATGCCACGTGCTTCCTTCAGACTGACTCAGTACTGAGGACACAGGGAAGCTGTTCAAACAGCTTTGCGTATGCAGCTGGAACCTGAGTCACTGGTTTTACTGGTGACCTCCTGAGCTGACGTCACAGCTGATTTAGAGTGATCTCACCCTATCACTGTATGTGTTCCTTCACGGTGTTGACCTCTGTTTCCTAGTCAGAGTGACGTCTGTGTACAGCCCAGCACTGCAGGGAAAGTTTGTCTGAGCACAAACGGGCACCTTGTACACATGCACATATGACCATGATTTGAGCCATCACCCATATTCTGGAAGCTGACCTGGTGTAATGAACAGCTTAGATAAGGGTCATATGCAGGATATAACTTCATATACAACTTCAGCACATGTATGTTTTTCACCAGCTGTAGTTTTCATTCACCGTCCACCTTCTGGACAAAAAAGACTCAGTGTGTCTGAAGCACACAGACTGTTCCCGTCACCTTTACAGATGCATCATACACCCAGGTTTCCCCGTGGCCAAGCAGCAGGTCAGCTGTGTGTGTCAGGAGCTGTTCACTCAACAAAAGTCTGATGTGTGTTTCTCAGAAATTCAATGCAGACTATGACCTGTCAGCCAAGGAAGGAGCCGACAGCCTGGCCTTCATCTCTCTGATGGAGGAGAAACTCGTGCCTGCGCTGGTAAGAGACGAGTGATTTCGACCGTAAAACGTACACATGTCGGATGCTAAAAGACAGACAGCTTTACTTGAGTTGAGTATGGGTCATATGTTTTTAGATCTATGCGTTCTGGATCGAGCCAAAGAACTACGTGGACGTGACTCGCCGCTGGTACGCCGAGCACCTGCCGTTCCCGCTGAACTTTTTCCTGCCTGGACGAATGCAGCGGCAGCAGCTTGAGAAACTGCGACTGCTGCGAGGAGACGAGAGCTTGGAGGCCGGAGAGGAGCTGGAGAAGGAGGTGAGTCGTCTTTTCCCCTGAAATTTACCTCCTCAGTGTGAAGTAACAAACTGCCTGTGTGCGTGTGTTGTGTTGCTCTGATTTTTGTCTGACTTGTAGCAACATGTCGCAGTTTTCAGTTTGTAGGGCGATACTGTTTCCATGTGTTCAAGCTGCTCCTTAAAGTGGTTGGAACAAATCTGCAGGGAGGGAAAATTCTCCTCAGTGAATCTTTCTGTTGGAAAACTGCTGGTGTGGAACGTTCTGTCCACTTTGGGAAAAGGTCAGAGGTCAGACAGCGTCCTGGGGAAGGGTGTTGGAGAAGGATTTGTTCCTGTTGGCAAGAAAAGCCTTCAGAAGGCCGACTTTTCTGGAAGGAGGGAAAACTGAAGGTGACGTGTAATCTTTCTTCTGTGCTGACTGGAGTTAGACACCTTCAGCTCAGGTCCACAACATCAAACACATCATTACAGTAGAGAAGTTTGTTCAGTCACTGTTGAGCTGGGTCCAGGGTGGAATTTTGGAAGAAGGAGGGACAATGGTTGGGAAACAGAATTAGTGAAAAGAAAAAGGTGGATGCTGGAGCCTAGGGGGATCATGTGAGTCTAAAACCTGGATCTTGGCTGTTGACCTCGGTCTGTGTCGCTTAGACACAACGTGAGCCGTGTTTTACTGTTGGTCTCTGTGTTTCAGCTGTACCGTGATGCTGCAGAGTGTATGAACCTGCTGTCCCAGCGACTCAGCTCACACAAGTTCTTCTTTGGAGACTCGTAAGTTCATTCAGACTCCTAGCAAATCAAATCTATTTTGTTTATATAGCCCTTAAAAACAACATCCAGTTGACCAAAGTACTTTACATAGGCAGAATAAAATCATAATACATAACTAAAATAAAATAAATGGGTTCAGTGCAAAAAAAATAAAATAACACAATAACTCAGACACACAGATGACACCTGTGCAACTAGTACCGAGTCTTTCAGGTCTTACATGCAGCAGAGCTCAGTTAAAGACAAGTGAACGCCCCGGAGTCCATTCTCTGCTTGTGATCCAACAGACTGTCAGTCACTCAGTTGTGTGAAGCATGTGGGTCAAGTCAGAGACCCTCAGCCACTCTTCAGGTGTGAATGACCATCCAGAGCAAACCACCTGAGCCCCGCAGCAGTCAGAAGTGAAGAAGCCTGTGAGGAGGGGCAGACAGTCTTGACTGGTACTCTACAGTGTATGCTTTACATGTCCTGCCAACAAACAGAGCAACAGACCACCAGGAGCAGATTTTTTTTACCTCTTTAAACACTTCAGTGCCTCAGACTAAGTAAAGCACAACCAACAGGGCCAGCTACTGTGAAGGTTGTCTGAAATTATAATCAGGCCTAACTGCATAAATAAAATGGGCCGACAGTATAAAGCAACTTAATGAAAATCCCTGAATTTGCTAAGACCATGTTGTATTTAACAGTATAAGATGTACCTAGTTCATTTATTTACAGTGACTTCTGATTTATGCCAGAAAGAAAAACAGTGTAAAATGTCTTAAAATCCGTATAAAACTGTGCCTACAAGTGGTTTGATCTGCTGCCTGACCTTTCACCTGCAGGCCTTCGTCTCTGGATGCCTACGTGTTTGGTCACCTGGCACCCATCCTGAAGTCCAAACTGCCCAATGGGAAACTGCAGCAGCATCTGAAGTCCCTCGACAACCTGACTGACTTCTGCACCAACATCTTGCTGCTGTACTTCCCCCGAGATGGCCGAGGTGAGGCGACTAACCCTGATACGGGGCATCAGGCTTACTGGACATCAGAGCCAGTGAAATGATCTGCTGCAGAAACTGCAGAGGCCTTTGGGTTCACACTTCAGCATGCAAATAACGTCCTACAATCCGTCTGCAGGCTTCAAACAGTCATTTGAAGGGTTTTACATAAGTTTTGTCCAGTTTGAGTCCAGCTGCATTTTGTGTCACTGAGCCCTTCTGGAGTGAGCCTCATTTGTCTGCAAAAGGTTTGTTTAACATCACAGACGTCATGTAAATTGTGTTGCTAAGCAGTCTGATCACTGAAGGTGTTACACATACACACAGTGGTCTACACAGTAGCTCTGTTGGCCCAGAGAGGCTCTAAACAGACACAAACTTATACAAATATACCATTATTAATTGATTTATCATATAAATAGATAGACTGGATGTTTGTTGTCACAAACTGTTTGTCAGGCAGAAGTGGGAACACATGAGAAGAGATTTATGGCCTCATGTATAAGAGCTCTCAGACGTTTCCCTGTGTCTCATTGATGGTTTTACTTCATGGTACAGCAGCTGACATGAATCTGACGTCCTCCATGTTTTGTTTCAGAGAGCTCCAGTCAGAAGACATCCTCGCAACCTGAAGGTGGAGACTTCGATCATGTCCCCAACAAGCGCAGGAAGCAGTTCCTGTCGGTCCTGGTGGCACTGGGCGCCATGCTGAGCTACGCTCTGCTGACCGGCATGGTGTCCATCCAGCATGTCCAGCAAGGGGCGCTGGAGGAGCCACCAGACCTGCAGACCATCGGATCCCATGAGGATGAAGGAGATGACTGAGGAGGACAGACACAGGGCATCAGGACGGAAGTGTTCAAGAAGTAATACCAGACTCTCGGCAAAGAAAACCCCAGCAGACGTATCGGTGTGAAATACAAAGACTAATCAGATTTATTAATAACCCAGCAGCCAGGCAGTGGGCGGAGGCGTTGCTGGTTTCTGTGCAGAAAGTAATGACCAGATAATTCTGTCTTTCGGTGGAGGAGCATCATTTAAATCAGAGCCTTGTTTTGTTTTGGTTTCAGTCTAGTCATTTTTAAACTGCTCTGTGGACTCAGCTTTTCTTTACGGCTAAATGAATTTGCTAAATTTCCCCAGGTTTGTTGTGAAGCAGGTTTTCCTGAGTTCTCCTGTCACGTCAGCTTTGCTGATGTTCAGAAACGGACACAGTTATCTTCTGAACTGTTCCAACATAGCCATCTCATGCCAGTAATAATAATAAATCTATAGACTAAATAACCAGACTGCTCATTTTCTCAGCTGCTGACTGAAGTCAGCTGATCCTTTCCATCACTCTGCTGGCCTGTTGTCATGTGACTTGGCAGAACAATCTCTGATTGGCTGGCAGTGACAAGGACAGGCAGAAGAAGAAGACAGAGCCCAGGACTGTCACTAAACAGGAGAAGGAGGATGTGACAGTTTGGCATCAGCCTGTTAATTGACCTGCTTCTGCACTTTCATCTGACTCTATAAAACATTCAGCATCGCAGCTTGTGTTATCCTCACAGTGCACATTCCTAAACATGTGTTAGTGTGCAACCCCACGACTTATTTATAACTATATTAACTTTGTTTCTACAGGACATTTCAGGCAGTAAAATCAGATGTTTAACATGAAATAAAACGAACAAAATGAAGTCATGCCCCTAATATCAGTACCAAAGAATAGCAAAAGCAAATAACATGACAGGAAATAATAAATGACAGAAGGTTATTTCCCTGATGTCTGAGTGAAAAACACTGCTCTCTAATGAGGACCTGGCAGCTCTCGAGCCAGACGAGATTAGCTTCATGTCTCACACTCGCTTCTTAAAATGGAGGTTGACCTGTGAAGAGAGGCTAAAACTGTGTGGCCGGTGTGATCTGGCCTTTTAATGTTAAAAAGCCAAGCAGTTGTGTCCGTGACATAATTTTGTTGAAAACAGAGAATACCAGAAATCTGACAGACGGGATGAATGTGTGTGTGGAAGTTCACATCAGGACCAGAGACGGAAGTCCTGCTGTGGAAGATGCTCCTCAGCTCAGAGTAGCTTGGCCAGAGGACTGAGGCTTCTGCTGCATCTTTTACATTTGGAGACCTCAGTGGTCTTGGAAAGTCTGTGGATTTTGGATGACTAAAGATAAAGATTTTCCTTTTAGTCGGTTGTATGATGCCAATACCTCAGACTGTGTTCTGTGTGTTTTTCCATAAAGTGGCGTGCTACTGCTGAACTGAGCTGCTGTGTTCATTCAGGCAATTTCTCAATTTCCTTGTTGTTTTCCAAAATGGAGTGGTTTACTCTGGCAGGATAGAAGTGACGTGCAGGAGCTGCAGCTTGTGCATGATCTAATGTTCTGGACAGAGTAACAGGACATAAAACACAGCTGGGTGACAGCTGAGAGGCCAAACCCCCACCCAGCGCCCAGCAGGGCTGTGTCTCCAGAACAGCGTCAGGTCTCCTCTGTCGGAGGGAGGAAACCTCCTCCTTCCAAACCAGATCGTCTCACTGTGTCCAACCCACTGTGTCGTCCTCATGAAGCCATTCAGTGACCTAGAGCTGCAGCCATGAGTCAGTTCACTAGTAGAAAATTAACCAACATGTGAGGAGCTGATGCTTTTCTTTGTCATGAGAATCAGCTGAGTCTCTGTGGATCTGCTGGTTGGACACAACAAGACGTGAAGACACCACCTTTGGCTCTGGAGAGTCACAGTGGTTCCTTTAATCTGTCAGCTGTCTGTGCACATTGCACAGACACTGTGAGCCGGGACCCCCCCCCCCCCCCCCCCCACATCCTCTGGATTTCTGAGCCTTACATAAACTGGCAGAGTGACACAGCAAATGCACAGCGGCAGAGGAGGCAACAACAAATGTGTCTGTACACAGAAGCTCATGGAAACGGTGTTCTGCTCCAGCTCACCCACAGAGCCAAACACCTCCCTCACACCCCCTCCCCCTCCACCTAGAGTCTCCACCAGTCCTGACCGGGTCTGGACCCTGGGGACGTACAGCTGCACATGACACCATCACACAGGAATCCTGCTGGCTCCTGTTCACCCTCTGCATGGCGTTGTGTCTCCCCCACTGATCTGGAAACAGTTTGTGCAGTTGGATTCTTTCTCCAGAGCTCAGACTCGGTCTGAGTGCGGTCAGACGGGTGGAGCTGGAGTTTCTCCCTCCCCTCACCTGCTCTTAAATGCAGGTTTCCAGGGCGACGCTCTCAAATCAGAAACAAACAGTCCCAAAATATGAGGGGAGGCGTGCAGAGAAACTGCTTCAGACCCTCAGACTTTGTCTTGCTGGTTTTCACCAACACTCCCAGTTTGGACCTTTCTCCAGTTTACATTTTTACTGAATTAGCAGACAGCACCCAGTTCAGTCAGCGCTGGCATCAGGAACAGTAAGAGACAGTAGCAGGACTGGATGCAGACCTGCAGGGGCTGAGCTTTATACAACTGGTCTTTAGAACGCGTAAACCAGCCCCTTGTCTTGTTGTTAGTTGAGCATGTTAGAATCACACAGATGCTTTCTCCAGAGGCCCTGCAGCGTGGACATTGTCTCAGCCTGCCTGTGATGTCCTGCCCCCCGACCCCAGATCCTGGGCTGACCTGGATCTGAGCAGGACCTCCTGAAAGGCTCTGCTCAGGGCAGAACACAGTTTTCCTTCAAATTTAAATAAAACCACACACTGAGGCTGCAACGAAGGGGTCTCACAGTCTGGTTCTAGACCCTCTGTTGGGCCACAGCAGGTGTTTCTGGCTGTTACCATGGAAACGTGGGTGTTGTCTTTTTATTTTTACTGATGCGTTTGTTTCTAACCTTTATAAACTAAATGGGTGACGTCACTTCTCCAGTCAAACCGTGACTCCTGCTGCGGAGTCCCGTCAGGATTCTGGTCCCGTTCCAGTAGAAATACTCGGGCACGCGCTTTACGCTAGCCACGATGCGTGCACGAGCCTTGTGGAGCAGAGCTCAGCTAGTCTCCAGCTGGGCGTGGGCACGCACCTTGAATTCTCTCCCCGCTCAGCACAACCCTTTGTCGGAGTGGATCCAGTTTGTTGTCTCGGTCCTTCTGCTCCTGGCTCCGGTTCCCCGGACAGCTGTTGCCGCTCCGGTGGCTTTCCGTCGCGTTGGACCCTCTTCTCCTCCATCTACCCACTTCTTCACTTCCAAAGTCTGCAGAGCCGGTTATTTTTGTTGGTTTCAGTCTTCATCCAGGTCCGGTACCCCCGGTAACGGTGGCAGACATGAAGTGGAGGGTCCCGGTTCTGCTGTCAGTCATCTGTGTGCAGCTCACTGCGGGAGTCCCGGACGGACCGGACGTTCAAGGTACCTAACTAATATCGGTACCTAAACTTTGATCCGCTTAAACATGCTTTAATACAATATCCGAGTACCTTTACTCAAGTATTGTAGTACCAATTAGAGGTAGGCCACTTTACGCTACTTTGTACTCTTGAGCTCCGTGTGTCTGGCTCGCTTCTAAAACCAAGACACTGGTTCTTCTCATTATCGACGGGCTGCAGTCCCTCACAGTGGAAGAAGTAACGTTACTCTGGTAAAACTACAAAATGCAGCTGGTAAAACTATTGTTAACTACCTTGTATACTTATACTGTGAAGTTCTTTACATCCAGCTGGGTAGCTGGTCTGATGATTCTGCTGTGTTTGGTTTAATTCTGGTCCTTTACACCTCTGTTTCTGAATCGGTGGTTGTGTCTGTAAAAGTAAACAGTGGAGTATTCAAACTCAGAGATCCACATTTATTCATGTGGCAGATCATGTCTTACAGGCACTATCCAGAAACTCTTTGGCTTAATCTAATTAGTAAATCATCAGTAAGCTGACTGACTAATCGATTAATCGACTGCAGCTCCAAACTGAACACAGTTGGACTGGCTGTGATCAGGAATTCACTGATCCAGAACTTGCTCTGAGACCAGACGGAGTCTGGAATAAATAACTGATGAAGTCTAAACCTGACTCCTGGTTCAGTCGTTAAGAGCTGTGACTGATGATTCTTTCCATGATTGATTAGTCGGTTAAGGCTGTGAATCAACCCATGTGAGACTGAGGGGCGCCATCAAATCGGGTCAAACCAGATCCAGTTCATGTCAGACTATGGAATGGAAGAGTATGACTCAGATGATTAATTGACTGGTTGTTGTTTACTGATCTTTGAACAGCTGCATCTGAAATTCATAGTTTTTATTATGTTATTAATGACACATGAGGAAACACTGTGACATCACTGTTATTGTTTACTGTGACCAGTGAAACCAGCACCGACTTGGCAATATTTGGTGGGAATTTGTACTAAAATCAAGAATTAGAGGTGGAGTCTGTTTTTCTGCGTCGCTGTGAGGAGGTCAGCAGAGGACAGGAAGCAACTGACTGTCTCATATTATCTTGTTTTCTTCCTCTGTGGTGTTTCTCTCAGGGTACAGCAGCTGCACTTTTTTTGTCATTTGTTCAGACTCACTTTCATTTCACAATAAAAGTTGTTTTCTGAGGGGAGTCAGTTTCATGTATGAACAGGAAAACCACAGCTGACATCTCCTCGAACCTGAAATGTCACTTCAATCTCCTCTTTCTTTCCCCCTCTCTCCATTTTCCTCCTCTCCATCTTTTTCTCTGTTACCTCTCTCCCTCCCTCCTCTTCCACCACAGTGATTGACGTGTTGAATCTTCAGGACTCGAAGCAGAGCACAGCAGCAGTGGAGAAGCTGTCGGCTGGTCTGAGCACGTTCAGTGATGTCTATGTCGTGTCAGCGTTCCGACTGCCGGCGAAGCTGGGCGGTGTCCTGCTGGGCCTCTACAGTAAACAGGACAACAGGAAGTTCCTGGAGCTCGGTGTGATGGGGAAGATCAGTAAAGGTAGCTGAAGGTTTAACCTGCCAACATTGCACTAAACCAAGCATCACTCAAATTCTCTTGATTTTACACAGATTGTTCACAGACACAGAGAGTGCATCCTAATGAGATGTCTGAGGTTTGAATGTTTCACTCAGTGGAAACATCTCAGATCATCAGTTCTATTGGTTGGATTTAGGTTCTAGGTGTCACTCAGTGGGTCAGTTTGGCCTGATCAGAAGCTTCTCGATAAATGTTCAACACATGAAATGTCCTGGTCTCTCCAATGACCCCATCACTTTCCTCCATGTTTTATTGTTACTACTGTGTGAGGGGCTGACGCTGAATGATGACGACAGGCCGCTCTCACAGCAGCTACAGCTGTGATGTGAATGTAGCCTTAGAGCTGCAGAAATCATCGTCATTTTTGATTCATCTGTATCTGATTATTTTGGTGTTAAACATCTGAAAACTGTCCCTGAACCTGCTTCAGAGTAGAAATGTGACATGAAACCACCTCTTCCACCTCCAGTTCTAGTTCGTTACATCCGGGCTGACGGGAAGCTCCACACTGTTAACCTGCAGAACGCCAACCTGGCTGACGGGCGGACCCACTCCATCATCCTGAGGCTCGGAGGTCTTCAACGTGACAGCATGAACATGGAGCTCTATGTCGACTGCCGAGTGGCTGACTCCAGCCAGGGCCTGCCACCACTGGTCCGCCTGCCTCGAGAAGCGGAGATGGTGGAGATCAGACATGGCCAGAAGGCCTACGCCCGCCTCCAGGTCACTGAGAGATGATCTACGTGTTACATGTACAGCAGCTTCAGAAAGGATCCAGTACTCAGTAACCCAATAATAACAGGGTTTCTGCAATTTTATTGAAATTCAGAAACTGAACTCTCTCACTATGGGTTGTTGATTGTAGTGTATCCATTTAAAATAAAATCTACAACACATTAAAATGTGTAGGCAGTGAGCGGATCCAGATACATTCTGAAGCCACTATATATACTGTGAAAAAATATTAAAAAAACGAGGAGGAACAGCATCATAATGAGGATAATGTCCTCAGTGAGGTTATACATGGACTACAGCTGCTTTTGTGAACATGTGAGTACAGGAACAGTACGAGTACTGAGTGGAGAACTGTATGAAGTTAAACCGGTGTGTGATGCTGAAGTTACACACACAGCCTCATTCACTGAAACAGTCTCAGCAGTGTTTGTGCAGACTCACCATTGATATCATCTGTGTTGTAAGCTTCAGTTTCCACTGCAGAGTTGTTCACAGATTTAAAGGCTGGTAAACTGACACCATGAATACTGTTTCCCCTCAGGGTGCAGTGGAGTCCCTCAGACTGGCTATAGGGGGCAGTGTTGCTAAAGCCGGAGCTCTGACAGACTGCCCGTTTCAAGGAGACGCTTCAGCCTACAACTCAGGTCAGCTCCCCTCACGTTGACCCGCTCTCACCCTCTCAGGTCAACTGTACCCCATCACTGTGGCCGCTGCCCTCAGCCGGTCTGGTGTGGAGTCTGATGTCAGCCCCTGACAAGGTTAGGCTCAGGTTGGGCTTAATGAGCTCTCACATTTGCAGTGCACGTTTCCCATTGTAAAGTTCCCATCAACATCCACAGTGTCATTTTCCTGTAACTGTTCTTTCTGACTTGGAGCTAAATTACACAGAATCATGTGAAACCCGGTCAGGAGGTCTCACTTCATCCACAGTTTGTTGTCCAAGGTCAGAGAATGTTGTGTTTCTATATCAGGTGAGCCATCTGAAATGTTTGGTGAGTTATTTTAAATGTTTGGTGGCTAGAACAGCAGTTCAAATGTTTGCTAGTGTTGGCGACTGTTTGGTAGCAGTTAGCCTGAATTAGCCTGAGTAGATGAAGGGTCATGCTGGGTGTGTGGATGCAGGCAAAAAAGGTGGGATACTGGAACGCACTGTTGAGCCTTCTCCATGTCGAGGGCCCAACTCAGTGAAACACCAGTTAGTGAGTGGGCCCCGACCTGATGACCCTGTAGACCTGCCTTCACTCCTATATCCGCACAGAACTTGTACCAGTGTTGGTGATAATACAGCTACAGACTCAGTAGAATTGTTAACAGGGGAAGAGGGGGAGACCCCTAGCTTATAGGCCTATAACTAAGGGATGGTATACCAAATTAAACCTATCCACAAATGCACATAATTTCATAGATGCCACTACATGGGTGCAAGTGAAGGCTGTCCCTTTGACTAGAAACCACTGGTACAGTTAAATATACTCAGCGGTAACAGAATGGCCCAGGCTCCCTGTGTTCTTGCAGGTTCTAAGAAGGCTATCAGCCTTATCCCTGTTCAGCCACACTGGTCGTTATGGTGGCATGAAATATCAGAAGACATATCACAACATGCTGAGAACCTTTCTATCCTCCCTCACTGTCCTACTGGGGTTATACTAAAAATATTGTTCCATATTATTTTCATCAGAGTCGGCTTTAATAAAAATGCTTTTGACATCTCACATGTGCTTTTGACTTACAATTGAACATTTAGCCCACTTTGTAAACGATACCAAGATATATGTTGTGTATCATCATTCAGTCTAAAAATACTGGGGTACGATTTGTGGTCCATATCACCCCTTTATCATAAATCAGTTGAAGACTGGACACTGCGGATGAAGGATTGGAGGAATGGACACCCGGTGTTCATAATAATGTGTTTCCTCGGGTCCTCGTTCCTCGCATATTTTCCTCACATCTTACGTTGGCGGGACTGAGACACAAGGAAAAGATGCATGTGAGGGGAAATGTGCATGTGATTAAGGGAACTGAGATGTGCCCATGTATTCAGACCCCTGCAGGGTTTTTATATCAGTTCATTTACTCAAACAACTTGAAAAAGTGACCAAACACCTTTTTGTGAAATGGATCCGTGTGTTTATGGCTGTAATCAGTGAAGTGTGATACTGATGGAAACTGAGGACAGTAATTCATGTTTTTTCAGTGAGCGGGGAGGTCAACTCCATCCTGGGTGAGTTCATGTTCAGCACCCTAGCATTCAGTCTAATCAATAATCACAGCTGATCACTTTCACTTCAGCTCTCTTGTACTCAGGCGACTAACCGTACTCACGTTAGTTTGATTGTTTCCTGTCAGGTGATCACACCAAGGCTCTGATTGGTCAGCTCATCATCTTCAATCAGATCCTGGGAGAGCTGCGACAGGACATCAGAGAACAGGTGAGACAGAGGACAGGCAAGACAGGAGCCGGATGAGACAGGACATCAGAGAACAGGTGAGTTTGCTGATGGTGTGCTCTGGTCCTCAGGTGAAGGAGATGGCTCTGATCAGGAACACCATCCTGGAGTGTCAGGTTTGTGGTGAGTCGACAGCTCTTTGTCATCATGTTGATAAACGAGTGTTTCCATTTGTGGACCTGATTGAAACCAGTCTGTCCCTGCAGGGTTCCATGAGCCCCGTTCCCGCTGCTCTCCTAACCCCTGTTATAAAGGTGTGTCTTGTATGGATAGTCTGCTGTATCCTGGATACACCTGTGGCCCCTGTCCACCTGGAACCACTGGCAACGGGACGCACTGTCAGGACGTTGACGAGGTAAGCACAGTGAACCATGTGACCAGTAGGTAAAACCACAGGTGCACACTAATGTTACCCCCTCACCCCCAGTGTGAGCTGCAGCCGTGTTTCTCTCCCGACGCCTGTGTGAACACTGTGGGGGGGTTCAGCTGCCTGCCCTGTCCTCCAGGCCTGTGGGGGGCACCACTCGCTGGAACCGGACTGGAATACGCCAAGACACACAAACAGGTCTCCCACACACACAAACATCCAGTAAACGGGAACAATTTTTACATAACTGTTGGTAAAATCTAAAGCATGTAACTTTTTAACAAAAAATCATTTGTAATAGAAATGAAAACAAATGAAAGGGATTTGGTTTGTGTTTCTGTTTGTGCTAATGCACACTAATAATACTAACATTAATCCTAGTGTGTGTGTGTGTGTGTGTGTCAGGACTGTATGGACATTGACGAGTGTGTCAGTCTACCAGACGCCTGCGTGTCAAACTCTTTGTGTATCAACACTGTGGTGAGTTCATGTGTTTGCTCTCAGACATCATGATCAGTGTGAAAACAAGCAGCCTCCACATCCACTTAGTACTGTACTGAAGGACAGTAGTTAAGGTACTTGTACTTTGCCTGAGTATTTCCATGTCCTGCTACTTCATACTTGGGCTTCACTACATGTCAGGGACAAACCTTGTACTTCTTACTGCACTTCATGTGTCTCAGAATTGTCTTTAATGGCCCAGTATGTTTGAACATACAGGGATTTGACTCTGGTGCTCTGCTCTCAGTGTGTTGTAAAGCCACAGGAATGGAAAATAACAATGACACTAAAAATAAAAATAGAGCAATGAAATTAGATTAAATAGTGTGTGCATTCAGGAAAGTATCTGATACCTTAGGTTCCTTTTCAGAATCAGATGAATCAAAGTAAACACAGTAGAATCATGAGACTTTATTGATCCTGGTGGGAAATCCACCAGCTACCCAGCAGGATGTAAAGTACTTCACAGTATAAGTATATAAGGTCATTAACATCAGCTCCAGCTTTAGGAGCTGCAGCATTAAAGTGATGAACACAGTAATGTATCAGTCAGTAGGATCCAGTAGTATCAGAGATGTTAATGAAAAATGGGCCGTTCTGCAGGATGAGTACTGGTGCTGTTGGTACTTCATGTAGATTTGCAGGCTGATGCTTTGGTACTTTTACTTTAGTAACAGTTTAAATGTAGGACTTGTATCCGAGTATTTCTACACTGTGGTATTGCTACTTTTCCTGCAGTAAAGGATCTGAGTACTTCTCCCACTGCCTCTCTGTCTTTCCTTCTCAGGGTTCATACAAGTGTGGCAGCTGTAAACCTGGTTTCCTTGGTAACCAGACATCAGGTTGCTTCCCCAGGAAGTCGTGTACTGCGTTGACCTTTGACCCTTGTGACATCAACGCTCACTGTGTCATGGAGTGGAACGGAGAGGTTTCTTGCAGGGTGAGCATGTCTTTCAGCAGCATCAGTCTGTGGGCTCAGATCTAATCACATGACTCCTATCGATAACCTTTATTTCAACTGGAAAACCTCACTGTGATTTTGCAACAGTGCCCGAGGCAGCACCAGCGTTTCAGACAGGCAACATAAATACAGTAACAGATAAATCCATGCCGCCCTGTGTTTTTTCAGTACTAAATAATAACCATGTGCCCAGTTCAAACCCCATAAAAGACACTGAATGAGAGGCCCCTGAACAAACAGCCTGACACTGACTGGGGATGATGATGATGCAGCAGAACTAGCGAGTGTAAACAACTGTCGGCATTCACGCTGTCTACCTGAGCGGTCCTGGTCCTGGACATGGGGTCAGTCTGCGTCTGTCCTTGAGGAGGTGGCCGAAGAGCCACACGTGGCTCTCCAAAGATACCATGTGGCTAAAATGGATAATACTGCGTTGTTGTACTTCATTTCTACTGCGTCAGATGCAGTAGAGCTGCAGCTCAAAATGTTTAGACCAGGTCCAAGAGCATCAGTGTCACTGACTCATGAATATGATGCTGGAGTTCTTCAGATCTGCCTCTGTGCTGCTGATGGGGACAGTGTTGCTGGACTCTGCCAGATGTCGCTGCTTGTGCATTTTGTTCTCACAGCTGTGGAGCTGTAACTGACTGAATATGTGTTCTCAGACAGACAGTCCAACAAAATGCGTGGATCTTAAGGGGTTTTAAACTGATGTTCACCAAGTTAGACATGTTGGTTGTTTTTATTGTAGAGAGGAAAAACATCCCTATCATCCGTGTCTGGCATCAGGTCCATGTCCCGGTCCAGAAACGGTGACACCTGGAAGCTGCTCGGCTCCTTCCAGATCACATTCTTCACATCTGTTTGTAGTCCATAATGTGTCATTCGGATTGTCCACGCTGTAAAGCTGCCACGACTGTGCGTCCTAAAGAGGGATCCCCCCTCTGCTGCACTGCCTAAGCTTTTTTCTGTTGTTTTTGGGCAGATTTGCCTGACCTGATTCGAGGGTCTAAGCACAAAGGGTGTCACATGAGGTACGTTGTTGTGTACACTGTAAATAACCTGTGACTTGTTTGTTTGTTGTATCCCAGTGTAATGTTGGCTGGGCAGGTAATGGTAACACCTGTGGAATGGACACGGACATCGATGGCTTCCCAGACCGCCCTCTGCCCTGCATTGACATCAACAAACACTGCAAACAGGTCACATATATTACCTCAAATAATTCACCTTTATCTTCATATGACACATAACTGTCAGCTTCTGTATGGTGCACATCGGAAAAGGCAGCGGACATGAAATAAAAAGCAACAAGCCAAGTTTCACATTAAATTAAATGTTTTTACAAATGTTCTTCAGCTGAAAGAAGCAGGAGCGAGTCAAACACTTTATAAGTTCTCTTTAAGATCATCAAAGAAATAAATCTGTGGATCCTTACATTCAAGATGCTCACAGTCTAAATCTGTGTCTGTAGTGTTGAAAATGACATGAGGTGTGTTTAGCAATAAAATTCCGGCTGTAAAAGAGCTGAGAGACACTGGATGTTAGCCCAGTGTGAAATAATGTAGTTTATATGTTAGTTTCAGTCTTTGATCCACTGATTCCTGAGGGGTTTGATCGCTTTGTCCTTGACTGATTTAAAATGAGCAATTTACTATCTCAGGCTACGTTCCATCCCGTAATCTTAGTTTATATCACCTTCGTCAGTGACTGTGTCTCCTTCCTCCAGGACAACTGTGTGTTCACTCCAAATTCTGGTCAGGAGGACGCCGACAACGACGGGATCGGAGATCAGTGTGACGAGGACGCAGATGGAGACGGCATTAAAAACGTGGAGGTGAGACAGCGTTGCTGTGGAAGTAGTGCCAGCTTGTAATGTGGTCATGTGATTATGTGTCCTCTGTCCATCAGGATAACTGCCGCTTGATCGCTAACAAAGACCAGCAGAACTCGGACAGCGACTCATTCGGGGACGCCTGCGATAACTGTCCCAATGTTCCCAACAGCGACCAGAAAGACACCGACAATAACGGGCAGGGAGACGCCTGCGACCAGGACATCGACGGAGACGGTGAGAGACGTCTCCATGTCATAATAAGCCTCATTTACAGCTCTGAGTACAGGCGTGGCAGTTTATGTCCAGAGTGAGACGTCTTGAAACCCAGTCCAGTTTCACAGCAGCACCTCCCCCTAACCTTCCTCCAGCACAGTGCTCCCAGAATGTTTTTGTTGGTCGCTTTTTTGCACATTAAATATTTTCCCAACATGCACCCACAGAGGGACATGCACACCGGCCACATACAGTGAATGTGCCACTCTGTCATATGGTAAGTACATTTCTCACAGGATCTGGGTGATTCAGCTCAGCAGGTGACAGTGATTCATCATGTTTAGTTATTTTGGCTTTAAGTGTTTCAGATGCACCGACAGATCAAATCTGAAACATACAGCATATACTGAGAGCCAGGGCAACGCCACAGCAAAGAGAAGAGAACAGACGAAAACATCAAAACGCCTTGTAAAAATGTATTCCCCCATAATAAATAATCATTATATATACATATGTTTACATACCCACACCCATTGGTGTTGCAGCTGTAATGAGCCCTGTAGCCTCTAGGGGACGCTGGCACGGCTTCACACTGTCAGTGTGGCTTCAGGACATTCATCTGAACATGAATCTACTCTCTGGGCTTTATTCTGTCCTGTTTGTCCAAAGACCAACAAACTGCCTGGTGTGTGTGTGTGCCTTTGTTTTACTTGTATTATGGGGACTAAAACCCCATAAAAAATTGTGGGGACTTACCCACAAGGATATCACTGAATTTTAGGGTGGCAACCTGGTTTAAGGTCAAGTGTTAGGGTCAGGGTTAGGATAGGTCTAGGACTGGCAAATCATGGATTTCAAAAAGGCTGAAGCAAAATGGTAAATGGTCTCATACTTGTATAGCACTTTTCTATGCTTTTACAGCACACTCAAAGCGCTTTTACACTACTCGGCCATTCACCCATTCGCACTCCCAAACGCTCACACATTCACACACCAGTGACATCACCGGGAGCAACTGGGGTGTTCAGTGTCTTGCTCAAGGACACTTCGACATGTTGACTGGACAAGCCAGGAATCGAACTGCTAATCCTCCAGTTAGGAAACAACCCGCTCTACCTCCTGAGCCACAACTGCCCCCGAATGAAAACGCAATGTGTGTGTGTGTGTGTGTGTGTGTTCAGGTATTCCCAACGTCTTGGATAACTGTCCAAAGGTTCCCAACCCCATGCAAACAGACAGGGACAGGGACGGCGTTGGAGACGCCTGTGACAGCTGCCCCGAGCTCAGCAACCCCATGCAGGTATAGTCTGTCATCCTTTGTCACAAGTTGCACACATCTACGAGGTGTAGACAGTCCAGCCAGCAGTGACTTTTCATGGTCACTCATGGTCATGTTATTAGGTACAGCACAAGTTGTAGTTATCCAGTGATTCACAGGCACAGCGATTACGACACACGGACATGTTCCTGCTAATCGTGTGTTGACTTCTCAGATTTCTCTCATGGTGTGGGAGCACTGCCAGCACCAAGCTGTCTGCACAGAGACACAATAACCTCAGTCAGTGGTCCAACATTTTAAGAGAGAGAAACAGAGATAGTCATTTTTCTCAAACTGTCCACAAATATCCTGAGGTCAGTCCATCTTTGCTGTGAAATACAAACCCATGTGGTTTCTCACATTTCTCCCTTTACTTCTGCCTTTAGCAGCTGCACCTCCCCTTTTATTGAATCATCTTGAAGTGTTTTATAGTTTTTTCCAACCCTTCAATCTGTGTTAACATTTTAACACTACTTTCTCTAAAACCATTTGAACTGCACTGAATGTGCAGCAGGTGCGAGTCAAACTAAGTTTGCTATGTGTCATAGGCAACACGCCACAGATCACCTCCTGAATAGGTAAGACTAGGAGCAGTGACAGGAACGCAGAGGTCAGAGGTGTGTCTTCATCAACGTCTCCTCTCTTTTTCAGACAGACATAGACAACGACCTGGTGGGAGATGTTTGTGACACCAACCAGGACACGTACGTCCAAACACGCTGGTCTCTCTATCTTTGTGAGGACCCTCACTGACATAATGTGTCCCCTAGCCCCTCCCCTAATCCTGAACCCTATAACCAGATCTGAACCTGCAAACAGCCTTTTGATGGTGTGAGGACCGGACAACGTGTCCTCACAGTGCTGGTTTGTGACACCAACCAGGACACTTACGTCCAAACACGCTGGTCGCTCTATCTTTGTGAGGACCCTCACTGACATAATGTGTCCCCTAGCCCCTCCCCTAATCCTGAACCCTATAACCAGATCTGAACCTGCAAACAGCCTTTTGATGGTGTGAGGACCGGACAACGTGTCCTCACAGTGCTGGTTTCAAACTAACTTTTTTCCACACAAACATGCTGTATGTGTATGAGTATGCTGAGACACTGAAACAGTTGATCTGGGTTTATTCTGTCCTAAAATAATGTATATGCAAAAAATATACAGAAAAACAAAAACACTGCTATCCCAAGAACACATGTAAATGAAGACAAAGTACTGATACAATGAAAACCATAAGATGTTTTATATGTAAAATACATGTGAAAGTGCTCAGAATGAAACCTTGTTCTCTTGTCTTTTTTGCAGGGACGGAGACGGCCACCAGGACAGCAGAGACAACTGTCCCGACATCCCCAACAGTTCCCAGCTGGACTCTGATAACGACGGCCTCGGAGATGACTGTGACCACGACGACGACAATGACGGTGTCCTCGACGACTATGACAACTGTCGGCTCATTGTCAACCCCAACCAGAAAGACTCAGACGGTAACGGTCAGAGAAAACGAATTTGAATCGAGCTGAAAGCCACAGGCAGTAATACTCTGAGAGACTGGGTTTAAATCGGGCAGAAAGGCAGTGACACTGCTTTTGGCAGAGCATTTCCACATTCGTGTTGCCAGAGCACATATGGCAAAAAAGTGGAAAACAGAAAAACTAGTTGTTTTAGCACAGATTGGTGAAGAACAGGATTATCAACAGGGACCATTACAGACAGCACTTGTGTAACCTGTCTTCATGTGGTCAGATTTACAGTATACCTCCTGACTGATTATACAAATAAATGTAGAATACATTTCACATCATATGTATTTTTCTGGGGGTGTTTCATGTCAGCTGTGAGGTGAGGCCCACACTTCCACACAGTGTAACTGGTGTGTAATTGCATGGATATAGCTTTGTATTCCACATGTGCTTGTTATTGCACACAGACCTGTGTCTCTGTGTCTGTTTAAGGATCCTTGATGCCTTTGACTCACCCCGCTGAGAGGTTTCTGTCCCAGGCTGAGTGAAGTTATATTTTTAATTACCTGAGACACAAGCTGGTTAATGGAAAACCATAAAGCTGGCCAGTCCCCTGCTTGGCAGTGGAGCCAGTTCTATGGGGGACAGGTCAATCATCTGCGTCCACCAATGTCACTGCTTCATTAAAGTAATTACAGCAGAGACACTGTCTGTCTGTCTCCTCAGTGAACGGTGTTGGTGATGTCTGTGAGGATGACTTTGATAATGACGCTGTGATGGATTTTATCGACGTGTGTCCTGAGAGCGCTGAGGTCACACTAACGGACTTCAGAGCCTACCAGACTGTCATCCTGGACCCAGAGGGAGACGCCCAAATCGATCCCAACTGGGTGGTTCTTAATCAGGTGACCCTCCTCTTTCTGTCATAACACATAAAATAGTACCGCTGTTCTGTTCCAGGCGTCTCTGTCCCTGGTACAGGGACAGGAGGAAAATTACTCTGTTGGCTTTTTGTCTGGAAGTGAGGTTTGACCAATGGGGGTTGTGTTTTATTGGTGCAAAAGACAATTACGTGTCCACAGTATGAGATTGTTTTTGAGCAGACTAAGTTCCAGTGTAACAGTCTTCTGCAGTGTTGCATTATGCTGTGTTTGTAGTTTTTGTTAATTTCATCAACAAAATCTGATGAAAACTTTGGGTTGATGACAGAGACAGAGGCAGAGGCAGCTGTAACCACAGTAACAGTACACGACTGAAGCGGAGCCTCAAAATATTTAGAAAGCCTAGAGTGAAAATTTTTTTTGTTTGTTTGTTTTTATGCATAAAACTAACAAATCAAATGGCTAAACTTAATTTGACAAAAACTAATAAGCATTTTCATACAAACACTAAAAGTAAATATCAGGAGTTAACATTGGCTCTGGTTTGCAGCCTTAATGGTGCTACACTAGCATGAGTGTTTTCAGTCTGTTTAAACCTGATGTCTTGTCTCAGGGAATGGAGATTGTTCAGACGATGAACAGTGATCCTGGTCTAGCTGTGGGTACGTGCTGTTCATTCACCCTTTATTAATCCACGACAAAGCAGTCCTCAGCCCTGGTCCCGGATTCAACTGCGTTCTCTGTGTGTCTGCAGGATACACAGCGTTTAACGGCGTTGACTTCGAGGGAACGTTTCACGTCAACACAGTGACGGACGACGACTACGCAGGGTTCATCTTCGGGTATCAGGACTCGTCCAGTTTCTACGTGGTGATGTGGAAACAGACGGAGCAGACGTACTGGCAGACCGCCCCCTTCAGAGCCACGGCCCAGCCCGCACTGCAGCTCAAGGTTTCTACTGACTTCTACCACCTTCTACTGTTCTCAGTTTTGCGGTTCAGAGCCTCCTGTGACATAAATCAGAATCTCATGTATCACCAGATTTTGGTGTTGATGCTGATGTTTGTAAAGCCTGCAGCTGACTGTTCACTTCAGAAGGTTGCAGGTTTGATTCCCAGCTCTTCTCTGTTTCCTTTTTTGGTGTTTCACTGTGAGCAGGTCTCAGCTCTGACTCTTAGTAGAAAGGCAGTAGAGAAACTGAAATAATATTTGGATTCCTGTGTCCATCCTGCAGGCGGTGAAGTCTCAGACCGGACCAGGAGAGTTTCTGAGGAATGCCCTGTGGCATACTGGAGACACTCCCGGAGAGGTGAAGCTGCTCTGGAAGGACCCACGAAATGTTGGCTGGAAGGACAGAACCTCGTACCGCTGGCAGCTCAGCCACCGGCCGCAGGTCGGATACATCAGGTAGGACCTCCAAGTGGGCTCTAACCCTAACCCTGCAAGTGGACTAGAGACTAAAGTAGACCAGGAGGTGGGCTAGACCACAAACTAGAAGCAGTACAGCTGTACTAGACTTGAAGCATTCCAACTTGCAGTGTATTTATACAGTATGTGCATCAGTATTTTGTACTGAATATACTGCAGTATGACAGAACTTTATAGTACTGACAGTTTTATGTAGTACTCTTGTCTGCAGTGTGTATTTTTTACTTGTTTTTATAACAGTACTGTGTAGTATCACAGCCGCAGTACTGACACAACAGTACTGTATAGTTCCCTGTCAGGCTGCAGTCGGTCTCTCTTGCTCTCTCTCTCTCTCCTTTTACTGCATTCTTTCCCCCCAAAACATCTTTGTGGCTCTGGGGCCTCCCGGTACTCTATTGTACTCATCTCCATGGCGACCGAAGCCCTGGCAAGAATCCACCTGGTCAGCTGTTGATATGCAGATCAGATGGGGAGATGCTCTCATTAGAAGGTCAGGGATCATCAGAGACTGTATATTGGAAGGTTTCAAACGTTTGTCAGCTCGTGGTGATGTTGAGTTAATGTCCTAACAAAAGATCAGGAGGTTAAATGTAAAGAGCTACATACATGTTACTGCATTTCACTTGGAGTTCTTGAATGTAAAACAGTAATCAAACACTGACAGAAGGGTTTAAAGGAGCAGTCCTCATTATGTTGGACCAGTCCAAATGGTCCTGAAAGCTTTGTCACTGGATGCTTTTTGGAACCAGCAGGTTTACAAAAGTCTGGACTCACATTCTTCAATTGGTCAGGGAGGGTAGAAAGAAAGGGGGAGGTTATTGAAGACGGTCTATTCACCGAGCTGAAGAGGCAGAGCACAGAGACTTATTTCCTTTCTCTGTCGCCCACTGCATTTTTTCAAAATCAGACCCCTGTTCAATTCTTTAAAGCCGCAGTTTGTGATTTTTGTGTAAATACAAAGTGTTTTATAAATAACCTCAGGATATCCTAACATCTTGTGTTGATAAGCAGATAGTTTATTCTTGTCTCTCATTTATTTGTGCTCTATCAGGACCAGTAAATGTCAAAGATCGCTCTGAGTTAATTTACAATCAGTGTCTGTGACTGTGTTGAGAATCACTCCCGAGTCACTCATTCACTTCTCCCTACATAGTGTACACTAAGTACACTCAGTGGTGAACAGTAAATTCATGTGACGTCAACACAGAGCCAGAACCGTTTATACTCAGGCTTGAAGCATGCTTGACTCGCTGCAGTCAATAGTTGTCGCTGCTGAGAAAAATCAATCTCTACGCCACTGGAATAGCAGTAGAAGAAGAAATCTACAGGCAATACTTTCTGTAGCTAACTAGCTGGCTGGTTAGCCAGCAGATATTGACCCTACAGAACAGCTAAGTGAATGCTTGTGTGTAGTAGACAGCGTGTTTCAGCTTTCTACCCAGCCAGCGTGCCAAGCCTCAGATATGTGTACAGGGGCGTACTGAATGTTTGGACAGATGGACCTGCTCACACACTCATCACCATAATCAATGAAGTCTCAGATTCATTGCTGATGTGATTCCTTTTCATAAAACCAGATTGGCATTCATCTATAACTGTCTAAATATAACTTTATAGTATTTGCAAATATGTTAGCAAATACTTTTGCATAATTATTAGTTAAAGTTCCTTCAGCTGTCAAACGATAGCTGACCCTTATTAGGTCTAGGTATCAAGGACGCATAATGATAATAGATCATCACTTTTATTGGCCAAGCATGTTGGCCATTGGGAGCAGTGTCCTGCCCAGGGACACTCCTTGCATGCGGAAAGGGGAGAATAGGAATCGAATCACCAACCTCTTAAGCCACAGCCGCCCCATTTCCATAGCCTCTCTAACGGCACATAATAAAAATTCTGAAATATGGTCTTGAAATACCTTATAAAGTTTACCAGTGAGGCCATCGTTTTCTGGAGATGTATTGTCTTTCAATATTCTTTTTAAGGTCTTCAAGGGATAATTATCACAAGCTATTTTTTGTTTTCTGTCAATACTTTGTGCAACATTCTTAATAGAGAAAAGGAAAGATGATAAGCCGTAATTGTTATTTTGTTCAGAGTATAGTTTTTATAGTTCTTTCACCTTGTTTCATCCACTTTCGTCACTTCCACTTTCGATGGAATAAAAGCACCCCTTGCTATATTCGGGTAAACGTTTCCCAACGTATGTAGTTCAGTTTACTTAATATCAGTTTGAGAAAGCTCATCTCTCAAACTCATTATATCCCTGATGATTCCTTCTTGTCTAAGCCTTTTCTCCTTGGATATTTCCTTTACCCTTTTAATTTTGTATACATCTACAATATTTGCCAAATGTTTTATAATATTCAGCTTTCTTCTGATTTTTGTCGATGGTTCCTGTGACTCTTTCTTTGAAGAATTTATCAGTCAAGAGTGTATTATTTAATTTCCAGTAACTTGGATTATTTTTGTTTGACAGATTTATTTATTTATTTATTTTGCATGTACAGTAATAATAGATATTATTTTATGTTCAGTAAATACTGATGGTTCTATTTTTGTTTCTTTTACTTTATCAATTCAGTCGTTGATATAAGCCGAAGCTCAGCTGTGGATCTCTTAGATAAATCTTTATTCCAGGTGAACTGGATCTGATGTGGGTTTTTAAATCTCCAAATATCACAACTTAAGTGTAAACATAACTTATTAAATTCTCAAACTTCTTTGAGGAAAACAATATTTTACTTGATCATATGCAAGAACAGGCTCAATGATTAATTACATGGACAATTGTGGGTGTGGTGTATATTTTGTAACTATTCTTTAGTATATTACTTGTGTGATGTAAGAATGTTAACACTGTTATATTCTTTTTTTAGTATAATATGTGTGTGTGTGTGTGTGTGTAGAAGTGAATCATTTACTGCTTGCAAACCAATGATGGTAAGATGATGTCATGGGGTAGGACTGGATAAGTCTGACTTCTTCCTACTCCATTCAAGCATGTACTAGGTATAAGCACATTGATATTGGATTGTGTGTAAAATTATGTGTGTTGTCATATCAACTGTCTTTACATGCTTGAAAGAATAAATCAAATCAAATCAGTAATAGAATTTCAATTACCCCCAAATATTAAATTAGCATTGATGAAGGTGTTCGATAAAGCATGAAGTTGTCCTTCAAATTCTTAAAATAATTTGTTTTTTTGGCTAATGTTATAGCCATATACAGTATATTACCCAAAATAAAACATCACCCATGTATTAAAAGTAACCATCTCCCAGAAACATGAGCAATTTTTTTGTACTTTTCCTTTAAAGGATCCTTTCAATATATGTAGCTACACCAGCAGAATTACTGCTGCCATAAACCGTTCAAATAGTATCCCCCCCATTGGTTTTTCCGGTAATTAAAGTCTGAAGATAAAACGTGTTTCTTGTTAAAATAAAAATAAAAGTCTGCCTTGGAACTTTTACAGAATAGAAGTACCAGCCTTCCTCTTAATCTGCTCTTGGATACCCCTTACATTAAATGAACAAAGAGACCAAGGCAGGGTGAACAATAGAATACTAGACTGATCCAAAGTAAACTAAGTTTTGAGTGAGAAAAAACTATTGAATGTTTTTTACCTTTAAATCTATATTTAAGACTTCTTTTAAGAGAGACAGCTTAAGCTTTCTACAAAAAACACTCACGAGTGTAAGAAAGTAAGCTTATGTTCATTACCAGCTTGTCCACTCTGATTTCTGTGCCATTAGTGATGGCTCTAGCTCTGAAGAAAAGGACCTTTTTGCCTTGTTTATGAGCTTCTTCGATCTTGGGCTACGGCTGGTTGCGTGTCTCCTTGTCTTTCATAGTTAAGTCTTCTCTGAATCTCAGTTTCTTGACTTTGAGGCACTCTGAGCCATTTCCGCTTTTCTAAACCATGTCTTATCAATCTGGAAGTAAATTGTAATCACTGGTGGAGTTTTTCCTTCCTCTTTACATCCGACTCTGTGACTCGGGTCAATGTGTAAGTGTAGGAAGGATGTAGCCAGTGTTGTGTTGTCCTCACCGTAATGTGTGTGAATCCAGACTCTGGTCCAGCTTATCGCGCTGTGCTGTAGACCTCCACTGTTGTCCACCAGTTATTAAAACCCCCCAGTGAGCCACACTGCTGCACTGGCAGGTTTCCTTCTCAGGAAACATGGGAGGCCGACTGTTTCCAATAACCAGCTCCACAGGCTGAGAACGGCGTCACTGTGCCCAGAGTCACTGGTCTCTGCTCTGGTTATGCTCCTCTGCTAGCTTCTCATGCTGCACATAGCATTTTGGAGCTCTCACTAATGCAGTGTGTCCTGATGTTTTTCTTAAGGAGCATTTGTTTTCTGACCTGGCATGTCACTGTGTTTCAGGGTGAAGCTCTTTGATGGGATAGACATGGTGGCCGACTCTGGCGTTGTGACTGACACCACGATGAGAGGAGGCAGGCTCGGTGTCTTCTGTTTCTCCCAGGAAAACATCATCTGGTCCAACCTGCGCTACAGATGTAACGGTATCAGATCAATAATTTCATCTGATAAACTTTATCATTTTGAATCAGGACTTTCAGTATTTGGATCAAGTAGCTTGTGCGAAACACAGAGTGTCGGATTAAGATGCTACAGCTGTTATTTCATGTGGCAGATACAGATTTAATCAACATTTCGGTGAATGAAAGGGTCAGATTGGACTCTGTATCAGCAGATACTCAATGAAAAAGGACTTGGATCAGGATCATGGCCAAAAGAACATGATCCTGACATCCCCAGCGAAAACAGATGTAAAATTCTGAACTGTGTGGTTAACTTACTTTGTCATGAATCCTTGCACTGGTTTGTTTTATTTCAGACACGGTGCCTGAAGACTTCCAGACTCATCGTAAACAGGTTCTGGTGCACATCCACGTTTGAGAGCAGCAGACAGACTCATGTTGGTCTTTCTAACTGTGTGAGGACCCTCATTGACACAACAGATTCCCTAGCCCCTTACCCTAACCTTAACTATCAGAATTAAATATCTAACCCCAACACTTCCCCTAACACCTAACCTAAACCTGGTTCTAAGCTGAACCCCAAAACCAGGTCTGAACCCTCTCACAGCGCACGTGAGACCCGGACAACATGTTCTCACTTTTCATTAATGTCCTCACAGTGCAGAGGTGTCCTCTTACAGGTATCAAGAGTCGGTCTGAGGAAATGCTGATGAGGAGCATGTGAACGTACTGTCAGTGAGGGTTTATGTGAAATTTAAACGTAACATTTCCAGTTCAGTGTTTCTGTGCATCCATGTATGAGTCAGAGTGTGAGGAGTTATTTTGGAGTTCAGTCTGTTCACTGATGCTGACAGATGAGAAACTTTCTGACAGCTGTCCAAGTCCAAGATCTAAAAAACTTGTGGGAAAGTAAAGGATACAGGTCAACTACTGTACCACTCCCAAGGTGCGTTTCAGTAACAAACAGCCTATCACAGAGCGTCACATAACATTAATGTATGGATGAGGAGCATGTGTTAAAAGCAGGAGGTGAATCCTCTCCAGTTTTGCCCTCCATTCATGTACGTCCACGTTTCAAGAATCTACACGGTCCAGTCTGATCCAGTCAGTTTCCTCTGTAGCTTCATGTTTGATGAATGTTTTGTTTTGGACTGGAGCTCTGTGTTAGCTGCAGGAGTCCAGCTTAATGACCCTGCTGAGCACTGACAAGATAATGTTAGGAAGCCCAAATGAAAAGTGCCAAACAGTGGAATATGTTTGTGGAAATAAACTTGTCCATGACTTTTCCTAAAACGCTGCTTTTGTCTTCCATGGTTTCTACAGCACAAAGGCTCAGACTGGCCTGTCCATCTTTCACGTTTCCAGAAGCAGAATTGTATGTGGACAGGGCTGCCTGTATGCTTTTCAGCATCTTCTCTGCCTCTGCCTGGTGGAGTGAACTGCTGTTAGACAGTCAAAGGCAGAGATGCACTTTACTGTTCATGAATTGTTGAAAGGGTCAATTGTGAATGTTTTCAGGCTGACTTTGTGTTGCAGATCCCAGTCAGCGTTCATCAGACTATTGTCATATGATATCCAGGACACAGGTAACTCGGAGGCCTTGAATCTCCACCTCCTTCACAACATCTTGTGTTGTCCAGAGAAATCATTCAGCTGAGTCATGTTGTTTTCCCCTGCTCTGTACACATCTGAGAACTGTGTTGGTAAGTGCTCCTTGTTCTCCTCGTCTCTACGAGCTCCACTGGTGTTTTTTGTTGCCTGGCCGATGGGTGAGGGGGGTTGGGGCCCCTGGGCCGGGGAGGCCGGGATAAGTGCAATATTGGAGTGGGGACGTGACAACAGTGCACCTCATCCCGGACCTGCCCGACCCCGGGAGGAAACGCACCACACGCCCTGAAACACAGTGAATTTACCCTGGTTTTCAATGAGACGGTTCCTGCACGTGTTCAACACTAATCTGTGTCAGGACTCGGCAGCCATGTAGTGCTGATGCTCCCTAGCTGTAACACACACACACACACACACACACACAGTGAAGAGCAGCACCAACAGCCTGGGTGCACTAACATACTCAGCTGTTAGCTAACCTGTAGCCACACACACAGCTTTAATTAGGTTGGTTGTTCCCAGTGAAACCAGATCCAATCAGACAAAGTTTAACGAGCTGAACACGTCAGTGGTAATACTGGAATCTACTGTACTGGTGCATCTGCAGCCATTCTGCCACCAGACTGGTTCAGAAAATAATTGGAACCAGCTGATCTGCACTGAAAACGGGCTGTCATATTCTCACAGACAGGGCCGGAAGGCAACTAAGTACATGTACCGCAGTACTGTACTTAAGTACAGTATTTAAGATACTTTACTCAAGTATTTCCATGTCCTGCTACTTCATACTGTGACTCCACTACCTGTCAGAGACAAACCTTGTACTTTTTACTGCACTACATGTATCTGATAACTTCAGTTCCCTTTCAGAATCAGATGAATCAGTCAGTATGATCCAGTAGTGTCAGAGACATTAATGAGACATGGGCTGTTCTGCAGAATCACTGTTGGTACTTCAAGTATACTTGGATTCTGATACTTTGGTACTTTTGCTTAGTTAACATTTTGAAAGCAGGACTTTGGCTTGTAATAGAGTATTTGTACAGATCCGAGTACATCTCCCGTCGCTGATAGTTTGGTGAAATTAACGAGAATCTGCTGCAGACAGGAATGACCTGACAAGGAAAACAAATGCATCCTAACATAAAGGCTGATTAAAGTAGCCAGTAAGTGCTGTGGCCAGATAAATGTACTGCAATAAAACTACAATATCTCCTTGTGCAGTGTTGTGGAAGTATAAATTAGCAGAAAAAAGGAAAAGCCAAACTGTCCTTCCTCTCCTTCTACAAATTTAGCGTTTGTTTGAACCACATTCACCTGGTAAATTGGATGTTTCCTTCTCTTATTGAGTAACATCTGACTCCAGGTTTCAGTTATTAAATTTTCACAGATCAGATAAAAAGCTTCAGATCCTCACATCTGACACATTTTATTATCCTCTTATATGTTGAATCAGGATCAGCAGGTTCTACTGTGCCCCCCCCCGAAAACGTCTGATAGTGGAGATAGCTGAACTCAAACAACAGACATCAGGATGACTCACCTCTCTGCAGCAGCTCCTCTCTGTGCTATCTGCTCTGTGGAGAGTCTCTCTCCTGATTTTGGTCCAGAGCCCCCTCCCCTCCTCTAAACCCTAACAAAGACCCTGAGAGCTGCTCAGTGAGGCGTGGAGGGGCCCCGCTTTGCTCTTAAAGGGCCAACAACTGAACCTGCTGGACCCTCCATCTGTGCATTCAAACACGGGTTTAATGAAAGCTCTCCCTGAGCAAAGCAGGTGGGCCCAGCTGCAGCAGCTTGGATCACCTGCTGCGTCTGCCATGTCTTCACAGTTTCAGCATCAGAGCGTCCGACTGAAGCTCAGAGGTCGTGGCTTTACACTGCAGCACCTTGTTGTAGTCAGTGTGTCAGTGCTGCCTCCTGCTGCCTGCTGTGATTCTGAAGCCACCTGCAACATGTTCTTTTACACTCTCGGGTTGGTTCTCTTCTGAACTTCCACTGACCATCTGAGTGCTACAGTCCAGACGGGAGGTCATCACTGTTCCAGATTCTGATGCATTTATCATCAGGTTATTTTCACCTGAGCACTAACTTTAACCAGCATGCCCCCCAGTCTTCTTAGTGGAGATTATTAGATGTGTGCAGCCTGAAAGAAATTCCTTCAGATGCTGCTCAGGACTTGCCTCACATCTTTGCTTGTCTTTTGGATGAAAAGATCAGATACCATCTAGATTTCAGATAATATTCTCTGAAAACATGAATCTAAAATAAGGCAGTGGAGAGTTTTGTTCCTGCACACAACAACGAGTCCAGTGCTAATTTGTGTTAAAAACAAACAGGTTAGACTAGAGTGAAATTACAGGGCCCAAAGTTCAACAATTCAGTTCACCGCTGAGTGCTGCAACCAAAGGGAGCACACCTGTGATTTCTAATTAAGCCTAAGTGCATGAGCCATGTTAAAGAAGAGCCTGGGAACGCCACAGCTTCCTCAGTTTGTCCTGAGTTGTGTCTGATGCAGTGCACCTCCACATGGCGAGGACGCACACAGAAACCAGGCTGAGAGACCCGACAGAGACGTAGCAGGCAGAAGAGCAGCAGCAGCTGCTGAAACACAGCTGCAGCAGAGGCACGGAGAGAAACGCCGCAGCACACATCACTGTGGAGGGTAAGGGCTTCTTCACGGGACCTGTCTGTGGTGTTTCAGTGATGATCAGTGTGAAGCATGAAGTCAGAAGAAGAAGAGCACTGTTCACAAAGCAGCACCAGACCTGGTGGATGTAGTGAGCACATTGTTCTTCTTGGGTCAGACGGGCCCAGCCTGTTCGGGGTGGACCTGCTTCACAGAGGACGTAGAAGTAGCCTTAACCAACTAGCAGTAAAGTTGGACATGCACATGACGGCAGCAGTAGTATTCCCCACAAACAGCAGTGCAGCACTGACAGGGAGCGGCTCTCTGCTGTACGAGTACTTTTACTTTGGTGGTAATACACAGTACAAGTACAGTTTTGAATGCAGGAATTTTGCTATATTTGTACAGTGTGGTACAATACTGCTAATTTAAGGATCAGAGTACTTCTTCCACTAGTGCAAGAAATATAAAAGAAAATGGAAATACTCCAAGTGAAGTACCTCGACATTATACTCACAGTACTGGCTGGAGTAAATGTATGTGTTTACTTTCCCCTGCTGCTTATAGGCTACTGATTTACAAAACATAAGCAAATACATCATCAGTTACAACTTATTAGAAAGTAGATCAGTTTAAGGAAGCAGCAGGTCACAGAGAGAGTCCCATTTCCTGGAAGTAAAAATACTGTGTGTGTGTGTGTGTGTGTGTGTGTGTGTGGGCAGTTGTCATGGAGCAGGTGCTAGTTGTTGCTGATTTATTTAGAAACGTCTGAAGCTCCCAGTCAGCTGCGAGCGCATGTGTGTGCAAAGACCAGAACCCAGAGCGGGACACTAGAGTACTGGACAGACCTGGACAGGGTCTTTGGAGATACCTGGAGAGTTCTGGAGTGTCTGGGTGACTCCTAGGTGGTTGCACTGAGGACATGAACCGACCCTGATACAGAGGTAAGAGACAATGGTGATCCTCTGATTCTGTGCTGGTCCTGAATGAACCAAAAACCCGGTTCAGGAACTAACAGAGGTTTGGATCTGCACATTTTTACTGATGGAGGTGAAGCCGAATTTCAGCAGAAGTTTCCTCAGCAGCTGTTGGTTGGTCCCCGTTTGTTGCGGAGTCCTCAAACTGGTCGATGGTTGAAACTGTTTCTGGGGTGAGACTGTTCCTCCAGTCTGTGACACAGACCAGCAGGCAGGTCGGTTGTGGTTAGACCTGCACTTTGTGTGGTGAATTCTTCAGTCTGACATGTTGGAAGCAGCTGGGCCTGTTCCTCACTCCATCCTTCCACAACTCCAAGTCTTTGTACTGAGCATGTGCTGAAAGAGAAATGTAAAGAAGAAGCTTTTTGGTTTCAGCTGTAGCTACAGAGCCTAATTCAGGGATAATTTATGGGATTGTACCATATTTATGTTTATAATGTTTGGCACTGGATTGTTCACATTAATTATAAATCATAACCATATTATGATAAAAATGTGTGGGTGGCTGTTGTTTTACACAGTAAAAGACCTTTAGACAGCAGAGCCCCCATTAAAATGTATAAATAATATTTAAGTAATCCATGAATTATTAAACAGCTGCAGGTTGCACCTTTAATCCTCCATAACACAGCGTGCAGCACTCACACTGCAATAGATATGTGGCTGCAAACAAGTGGTAGAGGGAAACATGTAGACACTTACAAAACTCACTTAAATTAATATTCACTGATTTCTGAAATCAAATATATATTATAGTTAGTTGTGGATTAAAACTGCATCTCCCTCTTGCTGTATAAACCACATATGTGTGCATTTATGGCTGCAACTCTGGGGCAGCGGTGTTAAATTTAGACTTTAGACATACACCACCCACTGAGCCCCTCCACCTGTCAAACAGGACTAAAGGTCAGCTGACTGCACAAACACGCAGCATTCGTGTTAAAGGAACAGTTCAACATTTTATTGTTTCTGAGAGTTAAATGTTGAGCCTCATGGCTGTGTGTTCAGTACTGAGGTGGAGTCAGGGCAGGTGTAACTTAATCTTAGTTTAGCATACAGATTGGACACAGAGGGAACAGCTAGAAGTAATTCAGCAGTGTAACCAGAGCAGAGACCAGTGACTGTCACCTCATGACTCACGTGAATCATAGGTAGACGGTGTGCTTATAACTTATCTGTATGTTTTACTTAGATGGTAGGGTCAGTTGCTTTGCATATATCCAATCCAGTGACTAACAGCAACAATGAAGGTGGTGCACTCAGAGGTCTAACACATTGCTCTGTGCAGCGTGAGAGCCTGGTGGAGCAGTGTAACCAGAGCTCGATCAGTGGCTCTGTCCACAGTGACGCTGTTCTCAGCCTATGGAGCTGGTTGCTGTAAACTGGCGGCCTCCCATGTTTCCTGAGGAAGAAACCTGGGTGTTAATAGCTGGTGGACAACAGTGGAGGTCTACAGCACAGAGCGATAAGATGAACTAGGGTCTGGACTCACACATTGCCAGTGCAGCTGTTAAATGTGGAGCTGATGTTAACAACCTTATACTTGTACTGTGAAGTACTTTACATCCTGCTGGGTAGCTGGTGAATTTCCCACCAGGATCAATGGAGTCTAATGATTCTACAGGGTTTGGTTTGATTCATCTGAAGATATCAAATACCTGTAGTGCATTAAAAAGGACAAGGTTTGTCTCTGACATATAGTGAAGTCCAAGGATGAAGTAGCAGCATATGGAATAGTCAGGTACAGTACAAGTAAACGTGCTAGTACTTAAGCACAGTATCACGTACTCTACTTAAATGTAAATGTACTACTTTCTACCACTGATTGTAACCAATGACTAAACAGTGCCAAGGTAAGCCCCGCCCCCTGCCAGCTGCTGTTTGTTCAGCAGAAAAAACCCAAAAGCCAAACAAACAGATGAGAGTTCAGGTTCCAGCACAGAGAAGCCATGACAGACGTTACGATCCTCAGATACTTCTTCCTGAGCTGAAGGCGGAGGCAACTGCAGAAACACAGTGTGCAGCACACATGTCCGTGATGTTTAAGGAAGGAGTCCACGCTCTGTAGTCACTTCATTGATGGTGTTTATTGATGATCGACTGACTGTGCAGGTAGGCCTCAGACTGAAGCTGACAGCCCAAATAACAACTGTTCTGTTGCTGAGAGATGATCGAAGTCATTAAAAGGAATAAGAACAAGGCAGATGATTCTTCAAGCTGCGTTGTCACAATCAAGAAACAGCAGTAAATCATTTGATTTAACAAGAAAATCATAATTTTTTCCACTTTACACACCTGCTGCCCAGCCATTAGTTTCGAAGTCATTAAAAGGAATAAGAACAAGGGAGAGGGGGTTCTGTCACACACTGAAGTGTAGGACAGGTGTCAGTGTTTACCTGCTGGTGGAGTCAGTACACAGTAGAATCCATCCAACAGCCATTTGTCTCTGACAAATCACAACCCAACCGACAGTTGCTGGACTATCTCAGTCTCTGTGTTTGTCTTTCAGACTGGTAGGGGTCTCTGAGAGGCCTGGGTTCAGTCCACCTCGCCCTGCCACCGCACAACACACAGCGTTACCATGGAAAAACTGCATCCACTTGACTCTGCTGCTGCTCCAGCTGAGTTTACCTGAAGGTACAAACAAACAACAAACACATGGCAAAAGGGCACAGGAAACAACCACAGAGAGACTCAAAATTTATTTATAAACCCAGTGAATCTCATCACATATTGAAATCGGAGAGAAGCATATTAAGCAAAGAAAATGCCAGAACTGCAGCAGAAATATAATCAAAATAAACAACAGTGAAAAATGACTGGAAAGGCACAAAAACAAGTAAAAAATTACTGACACTCTAAAGACACAAAACAACTGCAGACAGACCAGGGCCGTGCACAAACACTTTGACGGGCAGGTGGCCCAAGCCGATGAAAGGGCAGCCATCTCACATACAGACATACAAATCAACTGTGAAGTGGCAGAGACGCAAAACGGCTACAAAAAGGGGTTTGTCCATTATAGCAATGCACCAAAACAAGTAGCGCTGAGTAACGCTGGTCCAGGGTTCTGCATTTGTTTCCACTACCGTGCGCCTGCTTTGGAGGTGCATTCTAAATATCTATGGGAGCTAAATATCAGCCCCCCTCAGGAGGTAGTACTAAAATCAAGCACCAGGACTGGGGGGGTGCACACAGAGCAGTTGCCGGTGATTCATTAAATGTCCGCGTCCTCACACCTCAAGTGTTAGTATTACAAGTACCATGTGTAAACACACAGCTGACTGTGTGTGTGAGAGAGGAGCAGACCCTCCCTCCTCTAAACAGAGCCTGACAGAGAGAAACTACAAAACAACGCAGGACAGTCAGCGTCAACCCCAGAGGCTATGCTCGGTGATGGTTAAGGGAAGTACAGGGTTTACCGCTTGTTAGGTTCCCATAGTGGAAACACAGCAATAATGACAAAGCAATTATAAAGTAAAATTACAAGGAGACACAAAGCAGTTCATAAAATGCAAAGGGCTCCAAACAGATGAAAAATGAGCTTAAAGAGTCAAATGACTACAAAAAACTCAAAAGTACCAACAAAGATGCAAAACCACATGAGACAAGTCGGGATGAGGTTGTGAGCAGCTCCCTGAGGTTGGTGCTCTCTTTACTGTCCTTCAACATGCCACTCTGATGTTTGCATCTTTCTCTCTGCAGTCAGAGCTTCCTGTCGTATCCTGAGGTGCAACTCGGATTTTGTGGCTGCCAAGCTGGACTTGGGCAGTAGTGGTGGCGGAGAGGGAGGAGCAGCAGGTGGAGCTGCTCTCAGCAGGGAGGCGGTGAACACAGGGTACTGCAGCGCCCTGCGCTCCTATGCCATGTGCACAAAGCGGATGGCGCGACCGTGTCGTGGTGACCTAGCATACCACTCTGCGGTTCAGGGCATTGAAGACCTGCTGATCCAGTACCGCTGCCCCCGGGCGGGGCCAACGGCCCAGCCCCGGCCCCTGCCTCAGGATACACTGTCAGGAGATGCCTGCCTCTACGAGAGGAGCTTCTTCAGCCGAGAGGGCCGGACACCAGAGTACCTGCACTGCAGCGTGTTCGGAGACCCGCACGTCCGAACCTTTAACGACAACTTCCAGACGTGTGCCGTGCAGGGGGCATGGCCTGTCATAGACAACGAGTACCTATACATACAGGCCACCAGCTCGCCAAGCACAGGGGGGTCATACAGCACAACGCTCACCAAGGTGGGTCCCTGGTCCCTGAGTTCTGATGTTCAAGTTGCAGCAGCACAGCAGTCGCTGGCAGCATGTCTTTTGCTGTCCTGCACTGTGAAACAGATGCTGTGATTTCCCATAATGTCTCATCTGTGAAATGTTTTGTGTTGCTTGGTTTTGGCTTTTCTTTCATTGCAACATCCTAAAGCTGCACAAAAGTCTGAAAACATGGCAGGAGGCATATATGTGTTTGTGGGGAATACACCAAACGGGCAGTTTGACTCGGGTATCCAGCTCCTGTGGCGCATCCATGGGAGAACAGAAACACCGCTGTCGCTGCCAGTGTTCAGGGTTCCAGAATTGACTGAACCAATAAACTGAGCCTGATTTCAGACTCTGGTTCTGTTTTCCTGTGTCTTCACAGATCACCATCATCTTTAAGAACACACGTCAGTGCACTGACCAGCAGCTGTACCAGGCCGAGCTTCATAACGTTCCCGCTGCCTTTGCTGATGGCTCAGTGTCGAGTGGCGAGCGCAGAGGTCATCACAGCCTGACAGTCTGGACTCAGAGTCCCGGCCGACATGCCGAGATCCGAGCGGCTCACATCGGCACACTGCTGGTGGTGCGTCAGAGTGGCCGATCACTCAGCCTGTCGGTCCGCTCGCCACGCAGCATTGTGGAGGCCTTTGGCCCCGAGCAGGACCTGCAGCTGTGTGTGTGGGGCTGCCCCCCCTCTCAGAGAGTCAACACACTCCACCCTGTGCCACCTGACTCCATGCCATCCGCTGCTGTCAGCACCCACGCTCACTGTGCCGCACTGCTTCCTGTCCAAGACGTCTACTACCAGGCCTGTGTGTTTGACCTGATCACCAGTGGAGACGTGAATTCCAGCACAGCTGCCGTCAGTGCACTGCAGGATGCTCGAAACATGATCTCTGACCGAGAGAGGGTTCACCTAAAACCATTCGCCTCAGCCGAACGCCTCCAAGCTCGGCTGGACCTGCTGCTGCTGCTGCTCAGTATGCTGGGAACTATAAGCAGAGCCTGAAGCAGTAACCTTACAGTACTGTGAAGAAGTCTTAGGCCACCATTACTTTTGCCCTTTTAGTAAGGTTATAATGCTAATTTATATTTATTTATCAGTTTCTTTATTGAGATGTAACCAGAAAATAAGGAAACATGTCCATAAATTAAATAACACAAACTATTCAGAACCAAATGACTTCTACAGTCCAAAGTCAGTATTTAGTGTGACCTCCCTTTGCACTTAGCACAGTTCGAGTTCTTCTGGGGAGACTGTCTGGTGCTGCGTTTCCACTATGGGCCACCCATGAGCTGTAAAACCGGTACTTCATCCCACATAACGTGAACCGTCCTGCTTTGGTTTGCCATTGTATTTTCTCTGTCGGCCTCTGTTTAGAGGGGAGGGGGCTGCTGAGCAGTTGGAGAACAGAGACCGTGAAGGATTACTCCACAGTGCACCAATCAGCCAGTAACAGAGGCTGTACGAGCAGCTGTTGAACAAGCAGAACACAGACTTGCAGAAATGTGCCATCTTCACCATGGTCTTCACTGAAGTCCCTGTTTTACCCATAAACCAATAAGTGAAGTCCTGGTTTCACCTTTAAAGCAGTGTAAGCCCCTCTTTACACAGCCTGCTTATAATGCTAATGCTTGAGGTATGAAGACGTGGACATTTAACAGATCGCCAGCGACACCCCCTCCTCGCGTTCCTGGTACTTTATTTTAGTACTACCTCTTGAGGGGTGCTGAAACTTAGCTCCCAGAATGCACCTGCAAAGTGGGCGTACCGTAGTGAAAACAAAGACGGAACCTGTGATGAGCCTCACTCGGCTCAGCACGTTTCACTAGGTTCCTATAATGGAAAAGCCCTTTTGAAGTGTTGAAGCCATGACAGAACCTCCACCGTGGCTGCTACACTCACACTTCTCACATGTTGTTGATGACTGGACCTGAACATTTCAGAGTGCGACTCATCGCTCCATAATCCCTGATTCCACTGACCTTCACTCCAGTCTCTGTGAGCGTTTGCATTTCTCAGCCTTTCCTCCTACAAAGGCTGTTCCTGATCAGGCTTCTTCATACTGTGGAAGGACTGACTTGACGTCCAGATGCAGCTTCCAGATGCTGCTTCAGGTCCCTGCTGGGATTCTTCTGGTCTCTCTGAGAAAAAACTCAGAGAAACATCTCATCAGACTCTGACAGTTTCCTCAGTCTCTGCTCCCGTTTTTATCCTCGACCTCTCCGGATTATTCATGTTTCTTCAGAACAGTTTGAACACCACATCCTGAGGATCCATTTTGTTTGCTGATATTTTTGTGTTTTTCAAGGATATGTACATACTTGCTATATAATCATAACATTGCTAAAACAACACATCTAATGGTGGCCTAAGACTTTTGCACATTACGGTACATGTGATGGAGTCGATGTGAGAAAGCCACAGCTGAGGAGGACCTCACTCACCTGAGGTCATGTGACTCATTTAATAAACTGCAGCAACATGAAGTCCTGATGTGAGTATGTTGGGATGAAGCTGACCCCCCCTCCCACCAAGTCTCACTGAGCCGGGTGGGGTGGTGGTGGGGGGCGGGTGCAGCTCCAGTTCAACGTGGAACACAATAATCAAGAACACATGATAATAAACTGTAGAAATGGGTCAAAGAGAGAAAACACAGCAGCTGATGGTGTTAGCAAATGCAAACAGATCCATCCAACTGTGAGCATTTTAAACTTGTCCAGGTCAAAGTGAATGAAAAGTCCTGAATTCATGATGAAGTAAACGCCTTCACGTTCAAATAGCAGCCAAACTCATTGATTAAAACAGAGTGTTGCCTTTTTTTTTTTTTTTTTTACCTGTTTGTTCTAACTGCTCCAATACTGGCTATAATCCAGCAGCGTGTGACATCTTTGGATTTCTGCTGCAGCCTCCATTGACTGTCCACTGCCTCACAGCGAGCTGGCACACAGTGCCTCCCACAGCTCGAAAGCTGTTTTTCATTTGTACTGTTGCACAAGAAGCAGTTACAGTAAAGTGATTAGGTGTAATTAGTCACTTTTGTCACTGGAAATAGAGTGAGCCATGAGCTGCAGGTAACTCATGATGATGACAGGAAGCAGCTAGTTTGTTGCCAGGAGGAGGTGGGGTCACACTCCTGACACGTGGCCGGATGGGGGTGATAATATTGTGAACATGTGTTCACTGCCAGAGCGAAGAGGAGAGGAGTTACACCCAAAGTCAGATGGTCGTTTATAATCATGGGACATATTGAACAGTGTGTGGGTTATTTTTCTAACAGAAGACCAGTTATCATCACAGGGTGTCCCCATGTTATTCTGAGCTGCAGTGATGAGCCTGTTAAAACATGAACAGTCAGAAATTGATGCACTTGCCAAATGTAGCCTATTAAATAACCATGAGACTGATGCCCTTTCATTCTCATCAGTTACTGTCATAATTAAGAGTATTCAGATTATGAATGGCACTTATTTTGTGCTCAAGGTTAAGAACATTTACGCAGATATTAGCCAATGAGGCCCAGTGATGCTGCTGCAGTTTCAGCCAGTTTTAATTCTGAAGTTGGGAAGTAATGCAGTTAAAACTCGGTTTCAATTTAATTTTATTTGCACAGCATCAAATTACAACAAAAGCTGTCTCAGGACATTTTACAAAGTGAGGTCGAGACTATTATCATTATTATAGAGGGGAACCCGATAAATCCCCTTTGAGCAACAGAGAATAACAGAAGAGAAACAGTGTTCTGATCAACCCGGCCAGGATACACAAACACAGACTGGGGCGTAAAGCAAGGGGGAGCAGTTCACACTGGGCTGCACAAATGTGAGCAGCAGCTCATGGTGTTGCATGCTCCAACACACCAACTCAAACTTCCAGTGAAGAGTAGAAAAGCACAGAAAATGCTGATGCAGTGTTTCTTCAGTCTGATGAAATGTTTCCTGCAGAAACAAGGAAACTCAAGCGAAAGGGTTAATGAGGTGTTTCTCTGTGATTCCTAAGAGGCCGAGTGTCAGTATGTCAGAGTCACACTGGTGAAATGCGGAGTTAAACAGAAATCTGACTAATGAGTTGGATGACTGAGTGAGTCTCATGTCATCACGTCTGGTGATGAAACATGTAGAAATGCATGGATGTGAAATATCCTCTGAGCTCCTGTTCAGATCCATCCCTCTCTGCGCTTCCTGTGTCTCTGAGGAACGAGAGAGTGACAAATGCCAGCACCGAACAGCCACCTGGCCCTGTCGCAGGTAAACACACACCTGTGCCATGTGACAAATGCAAAAACACATCATATAATCAACAAACAAAGCAAAACAAGTACAACAAAATGAACAAAATCAAAAGCCTGAAGTAAAACAAACAGGAAAACCAAGCAAATTAATAAATGAACCAAAAAAAGAGCCGAACAGAGTAAAATACATCTCAGCAAAAGCATGAAAGGAACCAATGTAATGTGTCACGGTGAGTAATGCTTAATGAGTCCATTAATGGGTTAATATAGAGAATAGTTACAGAGACATACAGTTTGACCAGGATCAGTGTCTTCTGAGTGAAACCATTACATATGTCTGCAGGTCCTGATGCGCTTCCACTGGACTCACCTTGTTTTTCTACAAATACAAAGGAATAATCCTAAATTCAGTTTTGGCTTTTCTGAAATCCTACAGGAGTAATGTGAGGAAGAGAACTTCCTTTTAATAATTAGATAAATTCTTTGCGTTTGACATATTATTTTTACCCAGTGACACTTTCTAATTTATTCTTAAAGTTTTTGTTGTTGTTATTCTTAATGTTTATTTTCCAGCTCCCTCAGTGTGATCCCAACACTAATCTTACACAAAATAGAAGCTGCAAAATAAGCGAGAAGAAACATCATACCTGTTTCTAAACATACCAGTACAACCGGTGACACTTGAGGAGCTAAATACAAAAAATAAACAGAAATGTTTTGGTTGATATTAAAATGCATAACCTTGTCTTAATAAATCTAAATGTCATGAACTCATATCCACAAATGCAAATTTATTATTGAAAAATCTCAGTCTCTTTTTTTTTCTCAGTACTTGTATTGTGTATTTATGATGTACTGATACACACATGAACACTGTGGTGTGTTGTGCACATGACATGCGCAGCCACAGTCTGAACCTTTAGAAACCAGTGCAGTGTGAAGCCTACAGCTCGGCCTGGCCTGGCTCCTGGTAGGCCTGGTTGTGGTTCTAGTCCTCATGGTGAAAACCCAAGTTTGTGTTCTCAGGGTAGCATTCTGGGTAGTTGGGGTCTAAATAAGCATCATCAGGCATCTGCTCTGAGGAGTCCAGGTCTTCATCAGGGGCGTGGTCAAGGCCAGCCAGGCGATTGCTTTTCTTCAAAGAGGCTTTTCTGCCGAATGCTTGGTACAGGTACACTGCTACAGCAACCTGCACCACCTGGAGAGAGACAGGGAAAGTGGCAGCAGCTGGAGTTTAGTAAACTGAATGTGTCAGTGTGAAGACATTGAACGATCAAATATTAAAGTCCTGTTAGCGCCCCCTAGAGGCTGCTGTGCTCATGGAGTCATTAAAATGTACTGCTTTGCCTATTTTCTTTCAAGACAGATTGTGGTTTTCTTACCTGGATCAATATGAGACTGAGGTCCATGCCGATGACTGTTAGGCCGTTCTCCTGCAGCCAATCACTGAGTTTCTGTTGGCAGCCCTGCAGCAATAAACACACGCTATGCTGACAAAGCACAGACACAGCAACACCATATAACGCACAATATAACATAAAAGACTGAAACGTAATTACACATATTGAAACATGACACAAGACATTCTGAAGGCTAACACCCAAAATAAAAACTGGAGAATTAAAACCTATACAACAAAAAACATGACATAACATATATAGCATGACTAATATAGTAGCAAATGTAACAAACTGAAACCACCACACCACACACACTGCCATAGCATGGCCTAACGCAGTAACACTGTAACACACACAACCTAATATCATCTCCTCTGCACTTGCACTCTATTCATGTTAATCAGGGGAAGGTGGATGTTAAGGTCCACTTTCTGTATGGAACTGCAGCATGGCATCATGCACACTACAGCACCTCCGTATACGAGCTGTTTCCTTGTTTGTACAGCGGCTCAGTGAAGTTCACAAGCTCGGAGCACCAGGACAAGGTCATGCTGGGACGATTCCTGATGAAACAGGAACAGGGAAGTATGTTGAGATCGGTCAGGTTCAGACTCTGGATGTAAGAGTTCTTCAGCCAATCAGAAGGCCCTGTCCTGCCACAGCACTGCCCCTGTGAGCAGTCAATCAGACATAATCCTACAGTAAATATATCAGTGATCCTGGTAGTTGAGCAGTCAAGCACAAAGGTAGACAAACTTAATAGAGGTTTTTTATTTTGGCGAGGAGCAGGAGTTTGTCCAGGAATAAGATTATGTCAGAACACCAGTGACTCACGTAGCGCTGCACCCGGTCCAACAGTCTGTCCGTACTGTTTCCTCCGTAATCAAAGATGATCTGATCCACCACTTCACCCAGAGTTTGTTCAATCTGACACAACAACAACACAATGATCTCATGCTGCTCTGTTATTGTGTCATTAAATGTTACAAACATACAGCGTGTGTTCAGCTCAGGACAGAAGCACTACAGAGGGGTCATGTGCTAACGCTCACAATGACAACACTAACATGCTGACACATCCATTATGTTTCTGTACAACGGGCACAATTGTTATGACACTGACACCGCCAGGTGCTGCTGGTGTGTGTTGCCCATCACTGTTCCTCACAGTTATCTTTTACAAGTTCTTCCCACTAAAAATACATCTCACCTTGTTCCTGTTTATGAGCAGCAGCAGTGCAACGAACAGTTGACCCAGGATCAGGACAATGAGGGCGCCCAGGTACTGAGGAGGAAGAGCAGACTTAATTTAAGGGGTATGTAAAATCAGGTGTTACAGGTGTTGTGGTTGTTATGGTGTTACAGGTGCGTTACAGGTTGTGGCTCACCACCAGCAGCAGGAACCTGTGCTTTCCCTCAGCTCCTACACATCCAACAACACTGACCACCATCACCACTCCACCAATCACCAGCAGCGTGAATGCCACTGTACACAGCTCCTCTAAATGCACACAGAAACACACACATAATACAAATACACACACAGTGCTTTATCCACCACTGGAACGTAAAGAGCCGTAACCTGATGTTTGCTATACGGGGAACTTGAAGGGCCAGTGTGGTCTGTTCTATTTGGGTTTTGCACCTGTGTCGGCCCCTGTTTACATGAGGGTAGGCAGAGCTCCTCTGTAGATAGCTGAACAAGTATAGGTTCACACACTGTGCAAGTAACACTATATTTGAAAGGTGAGAGGTAAAGACACTGCAGTTTAACCAGTGATGGGCAGCTAGTTTAACAGTTTGCCTCTTGTTTCCAGCCTTTGTGCTAAGCTGAAATGTGTAAACTGAGATGAAGCAGTGTTACCGGATGAGAGGAAGGCCAGGAGATTTTCTGTGTCAAACAGGATCCAGATTGCACAGCCAGCGACACTCAGACCCAGAACCTGCGATTAGAGGTCAGAGGTCAGAAGTCAGACACACTTTCTGTATTCACCATTACAGTGGTTTTTAGCAGCAGGTTTTCTTTTTTGTTGTTGTTGTTTGCTGCAGAAACACATATGTTTGTCTCAGACCAGCAGAGTAACTGTTTCAAATTCTGAATTATAACTGTTTATATATATGTGCATTTGTCTTTACCTCACCTGTTGTGCTTTGTTGTGTTCAACTGATGAAGTTTACACTTAGTGGGAACTGTATTTGCATTAGCAGATCTTGGATTTGGTTTCCCTCAAGTTTGGTAAAATACCTTAATTCCTGATAGATGTCAATTTCATTCAGACTCAACAAACAACAGTAAGAAGAACACACACTGATACGACAAAATATATACAACAAAATATCTTCTGATGTCTTTCACAGTTATTAGCATTAATAAGAAACATAAATGTTAAGCTGAGATATTTCTTGATTTTTATCTTTGAAGAGCTGCATGTCAGAAATACAGGAAACTGATCTAGGTCTCAAACAGATATGCTGTTGCTTATCAGTAATATTATGTTTTCACTTGGTTGATGAGTTGGTTGTTTGTTTGTCTAGAGCTTTTGGTCTGTTTCAGTGCCCACCAGAGCCATAATAAAATAATAGTTCATTCAACTGCTTTTCTTATAGTTGGGCATGACAGCGTGAAGCTGTTGGTTGTAACATCCAACAGTTTCTCTGAGCAGACGGTGAGAGTTAACATGAATCTACAGTATTGGCTACCGACAAGGAAACGTTTGATTTTGCTGTTTAACATTATTTTAATGTTATTTCACACAGTTTAACAAGTTAAGTCTCCTCACCAGGAAGATGGAGTTAAAAACTGCAGAGCAGAACTTCAGCAGCTGAATCTTCAATTGCAGCTTCATTTCACAACAACAGCAACAACAACCAGCGACAGATTCACGGTTTGTTCAGTACAACTTCTTCTGTGTCATCTAAAAAGTCTGAGCTGCAAAAACACCTGAGTTCAGAGTCCACTTCCTCATTGTCTGTAAACTTTAAACTGATCTGAACGTCTCTATGGACACACACATACACACACATTGTGTGCGTCATGTCTCTTCAGTTTGATGAAACCACCCAGTCCTGTGTTTAAAAACCTATTTTATATCAATAAAATTAAGCTAATATATCAGAAGTGCTCATTATCTATGTTGTGTTGAGTGGTTTAATCTACAGCATAATTTTTAACAAGGCCATCGTGTGTGTAGCGTTGCTGTCCTGGGAGAACTGTCACTCTCAAAACTCATCATGAGCTCACAAAGATCATTTATTTAGTGGCTGTATTTTTGGACTAAAAGATTAATCAGCTCCTGTGTGCAGTGTCCCCATGGATGTCCAGACAACTGTCACTGGATCACTGTGAGGCTGAAGGAAACCTAAACACAGGGGCATTTTCAGGCAGGTTCTGCAGCCTCTTCTCCTCTGGTTTCTAAGTGGACCTGTGGAGGTTTGTTCTAGGTGAACATCAGAGATGACGAGAGCCTCAGCAAGTGGATGTCACACTGAACCACATCACCATGTGTTTCATGTTTGTCTGTCTGTCTGTCTGTTAAGTTACCAGTGGGAGGCGCTGTTTGTCCTTAGCACTGCAGCACAAACTGAATCAAGCAGGTAGGAGCCAGTATTTTTAATTTTGTGACTCCTGTTGCCAATGTTTCTGTATTATTTGTTGTTATTGTGAAAAGAGAGACAAAAGGATTCGTCTGTCATGGTCTGATGTTAAACACGACAACACAGAGAGAAGTACAGCACCACACCTTAAAGAAAATATGCTGAAAGGAATTTTTCCTTTATCTGTGTTTTCACTAAAACTCAAGGATCTTTGGAAGACCTTGAAGGTCCCATGGAGGGTCCTCAGACCTCCGTGTGGGAACCTAATGGGAAACACAAACAGTCAGTGTGACCTTTGACCCTGAATTAATGACAAAGATGTTGCAAATTGAGACTCAGAGGTCACAGTTCGGCCTTGTTCCCATGTCCCTGCAACATGTTTTTACTGCCGGGCAGACAGCCAATCAGCTTCAGATGTCTGGCCTGGTTGCCATGGTGACACCTGGTCTCAAGGACCCAAACAGACAGGGCTCAGACTTCCTGCTTTTATTAGTCTCAGTCTAAAGCTGCCGAAAATTCACTGACTTCATGATATCACCAGGACATGTGTGACATCACCAGGACAGTTTACATAGATCTTAGGCTCTTGATGGGCCCCAGACAAGTGCATGTAGTGCTGCCTACATCCTACTTCTGTCCAGACAGACAAGAAGAAGAAGAAGGACAACGTGTGGAGTATCTTTGTTCACACAGCGACCATGCAAGAGGCTGCTCCTCTCTGTTGTTCATAAACATAGGAATAAAAAGGATTTATCAGACTTTTTTGGAACTTCATGTAAGAGTCATGTTGGTAAAAAAGAAAAAAAGTGTGGAGGATGTTTGATTACAGAAGGATGTAGCAGTGTCCCGTGAGGCCAGTCGCTTTGTTGACACAGAACAAGACATTTCAGTGACTTGTCACTTAATTTGACTCTGAACAAAAAAAAACACAATAATCAATAACCCCCACCCCCACCCCAATCCACTGATCACCAGTAAAACCAGGAAACCTCGTAACAGGTTCTAACATTAACAACTGTTGCGACAAGAAAGACAATGTGAACACTGATGTTTTTCAAACCAGTTAAACTCCTGTTATCACCTTAAACTGAGTCTGTCTCCTAAACTGTGATGGTTGGCCTTGTGGAGACCTGGATTTGGGTCCCTGTAAAGTAAATAAAACCAGATATCACTGTCCTCTTTACAGTGAGTTTCACAGCAGGAAGAATTCCTGACAGGCAGCTCCATCCATGAACCTCACATTGCCCCCCACCGCCCTGTGGCTGGGAACACTGGGACTGTAAATCTATTCATGTCCATCTGAGGAGGATTTAATCCTCAGTCGGAGCTGTCAGGCTGTATGGTGTTTATTTAGAGCCATCTTAAAATGTAAAGTACAATCAGCAAATGTTTACAACACACAGGAGCTCAAACTGCAGTGGTAGAAGAAGTACTCAGGTCCTTTAGTGCAGTGCAGTGAAGGTAGCAATACCATGGTGTCCAATCCAATCCATGCTTTTATCACTTCCTGCCTTGACTATTGCAATGCTCTATACTATGGTGTTAACCAGTCCTCCCTCTCTTATCGTCAGATGGTTCAAAACGCTGCTGCTGCTCCTCTTCTGACAAGTATTATAAAATTCAAGCATACAATGCCGATATTGGCTTCTCTCCACTGGCTTCCAGTCTGTTTTAAAATCGATTTTAAGATTAGGATTTTTGTTTTTAAGGCTCTTAATGGTTTGGCACCATCTTACCTCACTGAATTAGTGCATTGGCACAAACCTACAAGGTCTACCTTTTAATGTTAGATCAGCTACTGACCTGACAACTTTTAAATCATTGCTCAAAACATCTTTATTTGCCCTGGCTTTTAATACACAGTAAGGCCTGATGTATTCCTTTTAATTTTAATTTATTGAATGTATGCCATCTGTGTGTCTGTGTTATTGTGTTGTTTTATTTTTTTTCCCTGATCTTATTTATTTTATTTTAGTTATTTATTGTGTTTTTATTCTGCCATGTAAACTGGATCTTGTTTTTAAAGTGCTATATAAATAAATTTGATTTGATTTGGTACATATACTCTGCTACTAAGTACAGCATTCAAAATGTAGAAAAGTACTATCATCCAAATATGCTTGAAGTACCAAAGTACCAGTAGTCCTCCTGCAGAATGACCCATTTCATATTGTCTCTGGCACTACTGGATTATAATGACTGATGCATTTTTGTGTTCATCACTTTAATTCAGCAGCTGGTAAAGCTGATTGGATGATGTCACCCATGTACTGCTGTGTAGTTTCAGCTATAATAACACATTACAATTTATTTTTTGAATCGATGTTGTGTTAATAATGAAAATTTGTAAAATACCAGAAGCTGTTGGGAGAAAAATGACAGTTTCCCTCTGAAGTGTAGTGGAGTATCAAGTAGTATAACATAGAACATCCTCTAATGCACAGGTACGTCTAAACTACTACAGTACGGGACTTCAGTAAACATACTGAGTCACTTCGCACCACTATGAAGCTCCATTACTCCCCCAGTAGAAGATGTGCTCCCAGCACACTGCCCCCGTTTATTTTCCTGTGTGTGTCTGTGAATAAGGAGTCGTGTAGTGGAGCAGGGGCCCACACTTCCTGTTAATAAAGGGCTCAAATGTCAAATGAAACCCAACACAACAACCCACATTCACACATTCTTGTGCATTAGTGCGAGCCTGTGACAGATCTGTGCTTGATGAGTGGTTTCTGCCTCCGGCTGATTTTCCAGGCGTGTTGGAAAAACCCTTCTAACACACTGTGCATGTCGGGATCTGTCCCAAGAAGGTCTCCTCAGGATGGATGGGCTGCACTGTAAAACACACCATCTTAACATTTTCATCTCTGCATTTCCCCTTAAATCTGACGCTTTAATGTGAAATGGATATTCTCCCGGTTACAGCATTATTCCAGACAAATCATGAGAAACAGTACAGGCTAAATGACACACGCTGAATAGACTATGGTGAGAAAAGCCCGCCTGTTGGAATCTGACTCCAAGTGTTAGAGGGCATCTAACAGCATGTGAGGCAGTAGACGAAGACTGACTCAGCTACAGTGACTGTGTGACGGGGGCAGGGAAGCAGCAGCTCGCTTTACGCTTGCATTCATGCTGTCTTCTGTCAAACAGCCGCTGTAGTTGCTTTTAAGTTGGGCTGTGGCTCTGAACAAAGCTGGGGCAAACCTGCGGCTGCTCATGAAAGGGTTAAATGTGAATCTCTGGTGCTGGAGGACCCACCCTCACTTGCTTGCTCTCTTCTCAGTGAGTCAGTGTCTCTCGTCCAGGATGAACATGCCACTCTCTCTCTGGTTTGCTGTGCTGCTGTCGACCTGCTGCGGTGAGTGACCTCTGACCTCTGAGACCTGACACAGAAGGTGAAACTAGGCCAGATGTGTTCAAGTGTTAGTCCTTAAATCTGTGGTATTGATTAGGAGAGAGAGCCATCCTGGTTTTACTGGTGATCAGTGGATGGAGGTTGATTTATTGATCTAAAAGCTGATAATCTGAATATCAGAGAGGTTTATGAGTCATTGTGTTGCCTTGCCTCAGTGTTTGTTGTTATACACTGAAAATCACTGGGTCCAAATATAAAACACACACAGAGGTTTGCACTTGTTGTTGGATTATTGATCCAAACTTAGAGATGGTGATTACAACCAGTCATTGATTGCTTATTAACATAATTAACATAAGCAATCAATGAGTGATTACTTACTAATTACTCCTCAGTAAAATTACTGTTACTCATTGTTCCACACACACACACACACACGCACATACACATATCCCCTGTTGTATTTAACATTTGAAGACTCTTAACAAATGATGATGACTCCAGCTCGGTGTTAATGATGCACTCTGTTCGTGTGAGCACAGCTAACAGTTTGTGTGTGACAAACCTGAGCCATAGTTTGGATAAAGAACTCAGCAGTAAATGTAACACTGAGTCTCTACTTTGTGATTTTTACTGTTTATCATTCTAAACCTTAACAAACAACTAAGTGAAGCTGAGCCACCGTCAGGAACCACAGCCTACACTTAACCAAACTCCAACCAAAGGGGTGTCATTTTGTTTTCAAACAGAAAACACTGATGTCCACATTTCATTCACATATTTTATATTCGAATTTGTTTTAATCCACTGCTGCTGTTTCAGCAGAAAACAGAAGGGACATTAAAGGACCATTCTACAGATTCATCACACGCCTGCTGATATTTCTCCAGCTCT